GCCAAGCTCCTCGCATCACCCATCAAAGCTACACTATCCATCAGACTCTCACCTGCTGGCATTATGTTCACAGTCTTATCAAACACCTTGGCTGTCAATTTATGTAAATAACACACAAAATGAATTCAAAAGCTCAAAAGGCAGCATCGGCTGCGTGGCCTGTATCCAACTTGATCAACCCACCAACCATAGAAGGACGGGAGGTTCACGGCTTTAAGGAAAGGAAAGAAAAGAACGCCTTGACATATGATGAGATCCCTCGAGAACAATTTTGATGACTGCCAAAGACCGTTCTGGTGAACGACGAAACTGGGGAAGCAATTGCATAGATCCGGTGATGAGTGAAACCCTCATCAACGAGGCATCGCATCATCCAAGAACAAAATCGCAAAGACAGTAGGAAAGAATAGGTATTGAAGGCTAAGCTAGAGTCCATAACAAAGAGAAGTATGCAACGCGTAGCACTTTTGCGGCCGGCTGCCATTCATGCTCTATCCGTGAGTGAAGTTAAACATCACTGGCGATCAGTCTGTCAAGGCCGTTAGAACAGCACAAATGTCCTTTGAAGTCAATGGTTACTCACCCACGCAAGCAGTTCCGCAAAACCCACAGTAGCGACCTGGAATAACCCAGACTTCCTTTCCTTCCGTGGCGCAAGTCGGGCACCGAACGCCGGGCACTTTGCTGTCGACAAGAACTGTTGAAGGCATCTTGCAAAAGAAGTTATAGATTATCAAGCGAGTTGTGAAGTGGAATAGATAAAGTTGAAGATGACGATGTGGTCAATCAGGGCTGAGGCTTGGTTTTATCATTCTTTTGCTGTGCCCCTAATTTATGTTTCATATCACAATACCCTGAGTAATACCCGAAACAGCGCTCCGTCCGGTTCCTCCCTTCAGATGGCTTGAGACATATCGATCACATGTTATCCAACTGTCTCAGATTCTAGATCGGTATTTGCAGATGCGATGCGAACAGCCCCATGAGGCTGGATACGGAGGGGCCGTCTTACAAAAAGCAACATCTCCAGCTCAGCTCTCGTCTATCCCTTGCATCAACCAGACTGTACTTGGATGGACGGCATACCTCAAATACCTTGCAGCTATAATTGCCTATCTGCGGCCCGGTCGATTCCACCATCCATTCCCGATCTGTTATTCTCCGATGCCCAGCCTCATCGCGGTGAGATCTCGTGTAACCATGAGGTGGGGGTGTTTTGACATATGACCCGTGCTCAAGCTCGCAGTACATATACGTCATCAATTGAAAGCGAATGGGGCATGAGCGTAATCCGCCGCCATGTCTACACTCATTTCTAATTGTACGTCAATCACGAATCACTTGTTCTGTATTACGATCCTGCAAGCAGCCAGCTGACAGTACAGTATGTTTTTGTGTCTTATCCCTCATGTTGTACGACGCGATATATCTGACGGGTCAAATTTACTGCCGTGTTTATACCTGGTGACCATACTTGCTTTTGGTTTTGATACGTGTATTGAAGATGGCTTTCCCTCCAACGCGACTTGCACGGCCTTGGGTCTGCTTGGCATGTAAGCCACAACTCAAAGTTCCGAGACATTCCTCTACCGCTTCGCCTACTGTCGACAGAACTGCTACCCTTTAGTCTTGAAGCTCCGTACCTGGGAGGCGGGAAATTCTGATGCCGGGCCGATTGCGGATAATGGTGTCCTAGCTAAATATCATCACGAGGCTGGAATTTGTGAGTATGGATAATTTAAGGCTTGCGCGTGAAATTATGCCCCTGTTTTTATATTTCTTTTCAAAGGAAACTACACGTTGATCCATTTCAGTCGATTGTATGTTACGACTTTTATATACTGCTAAATATCAACGCTCTTAACCCGGCATGGACTGGTTACACGGGACGCCACCTATCCAAGCCTTCCCTGGATTTAGGTGTCGTGATGAGCACCCCAAAATTTGGGGGAGCAGACAAGCAAATAGCTTTGTGGCATGATGATTATTGTTGAGGCCCATTATGGCGTTGGAACATAGAGCTGAGAGGGCAACAAGCAGAGAGTAGACTAGCTTCGGTACATATGACGAGTTTAGTCTGAGATTGGCAAGTCGCGAGGGAAGTCAGAGAAGCATAGGCTGGACACTATCAGACTCCGGGTTCTTGTTCAGCAATGATCAAAGACTCATCGCTGTCCAAGATGTGTTTGTCATCCAGGTACCACGGCCCAGCGCGCAATGGACGCACTTTTCTTTCATTTAGTGGATGAATTTGGTTATTCTTAGCAGGAACAATACTCCTGTTGGTCCTTAGGTCAACCCGAAAGTTGTTTATTGTTCTCAGATGTTATGTTAGAGAACTGACCCTGTTTAGAACTTAGCAAAGACTTGGTACGATAATAATTAAGTAGAACAATAAGAATATTCAACGAATCACTTAGAATAACAAATATCCCAGGCAAAGAGCGTTTGAACGTTATTCGAATTCTGACGCAGCCGTGTCAGGTATATCTTCCCCGAAACGTCACAGCAGTCAGCTTCTCCTCAACTTATCCCTCTATACCACTAGCCTCGAACAATCAAAAACCGTTAACATCAGTCAGTATGTTTGCCAGGAATTATCTTATTTCGGCATTGTGCCTCAGTGGCAAACAACGGTTCTGCCCCAACAAGGAATAGGTGTCAGCGAATCTCCACAGAGCGCAAGCATTATCAGGATCACAGATGAATCCGATGCAGACAGCGGCGACGAAAACGGGACTCAGATAAAGTTTGCGGTCTCTGAGAAGCGACGACAAACGCTGGAGGACGAACGCATTGCCCAGGACAAGATGAACAAGCTCGAGAGCCGACTCAACAGAAGTACTGTCCTTGTACTACACTGTTCTGTGTTAACATCGCGATCTCTGGAGTCATGTTTCTCAATTTCATGAGGAGAAGTTACCGAGGTAGGCGAAGTTTAGGTTGGTTGAATTTACTGAGCCTGACGGGTGTCACTTACATCGAGCACCTTACTGAATGTTGAGGCCATGTCCTGAGAGCAAAGACTGATTGACTTCACATCTTTTCGGAAGTGGATTCACGCGGTATTGATGGTGCTTAAGTGATTTACATACAGCTGAAAACATAGAACCTTTATGCTGAGTGAGAAGTAATAATTGGTCTAGTGCCTTGAGATCAGAGCCGCAAATAGTCGCAAGATTAAAGCTATGGATGGCAAGGATTGGTAATTCACGAAGCTCTCAGAACATAGGATGTGTTAATAGCGGAGATAATACGTAATCACTAAAATCGGCTTCTTGGTCTAGAGGTATGATTCTCGCTTTGGGTGCGAGAGGTCCCGGGTTCAATCCCCGGAGGAGCCCGTTTAATTTTTATCTTATCTTTCATTGTGTGCTTGTTGGTGATTAAGTGATTTTTGGTCAGCGAGAGCTTGGGAGAAATTCTGTTTGTAGGCTAAGAAGTCAGTTAATTTAATTCAGTCAATAGACTTAAGTCCTAAAAAATAATACAAGCAGGAGTTATGTAGTGAGCTAGTAATCAAGCTCATCGTCGCCCCCAAGGTGCTCAACAATACCCTCATGGATAGTCAAAGCCATCTCCAACAGGGAGTCCAATCGTTCTGCGCTTGTGGATTCCGCCATCATTCGTGGGGTCTGAAGTTGTGATACTTTATACAAGTGTGAATTGGCTGGCTAGATCATTAGTCGCAGTTGTGCCTGGCTGGGATCTGTACTAACACTGGGCAATTACCAAGGCAGCGGGAATCGTAGGTTCTAGCGGTGAAAGTGGGTTACGTTCTGGCTTATGCTCTTGGCTCTTTGTGATGATCTATGCTATATCAGTGCACGGGAAGGTCACTAAGGAAACGAAATTGGTGAATACTGGCATTAACGGCCTGGGCGTCAATGTCGACGGGGGCTAATTTTGTAGAATAACCTAAGATAAGCACTGATAAGCACTTAATTGTCAGTGCACTCGGTGATGGAACAACCTTAAGCCAAGCCTAAGGGGAATCTTAATTACCTAAACCAAATCTGAATCACATCGGGCAAAAGCGAATAATGATGTGCGATATTAAATGGTGGAATGGATTTCTGTCTCGACTACCCATTTTCACCTTATGTGATTCTCGTATCGGTTTGTAATACCCAAAAGAGAAAGGCACAAACAACAGGGATTACCTGACGGGGATACCGACATAATAACATGCTAAAGCTCCATCGTATCATACCTCACATCATGCTTGTTGATCTGGATTTGCGATGCTGAGTATGTAGCTCTTGTGGTTGTCACAGGATTGGGTCCCAGAATGCTAGATCATGGCTGCCTCAGCTTCTGTTTGTGTCTACGCCGGGTAAGCTCATAGCATCATGGTCTGATCGTATCGGTAAAATGCTGGCCTGGCCTAAAGAGCGTTACTCTCAAGAGTAAGCCAGCGGCGAATCAAATGAATGCATCCTACTATGAACGTCCCATGGTACGGAAATGGTAAAGTGTGTTCATCTGAATTGATCAATAGGATTGATTATATCTTCATCACGCCCTGCTTGTTGAGTGATACGGTACTTCTAGGTGCTTGTCCCATCACTCGCCAAGGAGCTATATTAAGCTTCAAACCCCTTGCATTTACTTACCCCATAATTGTTAAATACGATCTTTTCACACTCACATTCTAATCTCACTTCTATTTTCAACTTGAAATGGCTTTACTTGCTGACTGGGGCATTGATACTCAGAACGAGCATCTATATGGCCTTTATTGGGGCGACAATCTACATCAATGGGATTGGCAGGTCTCTTCCAACACTCTCTACAACATATATGCAATTGATAGACCATTAATATCCCCTTCATCGTCCGAGTACCGAGAGAATGACGCTATCACGAGCAGCATGCCGAATGATGAGGGCTCGTTTTCTGCACCCTTAACAGGTTTTCTGCCCAGCACCCGGAGCGTCGCAGATTATTCTCACCCTGGAAGTCAAAAACAGCAATCATGCCTGTACGAAGAGACAACCATGAACAGTGTGCAAGACTGCCACGAAAACTCAAGCGCTGCCAACGATTCGATCCCAAGCTCGGCTCCAAATGGGGCTGAACCTGCACTGGCCACTGGCCCGGGGGTCAGCGCTAGCATCAAGACCCGCACGAATGCGGTCACAGAGACCGAGGGGAAAAAAAGAAACGGACGAAAGCCCAGTGAGAAAAAGAAGGCAAGAAGGACGAAGACCGAAGTCAACAAGGAAAAGGAGCAAGGGTACTTGAAGATCTTGGAGAGAAACCGACGAGCTGCAGCGAATTGTCGGGCGCGGAAGCAAGAGCAATATGACAAGCTGAACGCCGAGGTGGAGAAGCTTCAGGACCGACACAAAGAGCTATCTGCTTCCTGCAACGAGCTGAGGGAAACAGCTTACCAACTAAAACTCCAGCTGCTGAGGCACGGCGAATGCGGATGCGCCCTCATTCAGCGATATATCGCAAGCGAAGCCGTAAATTCTGTCGAGACTCTGATTTCGAGGCATTCTCCCTCCAGTAGCCCCAACTGTACCACCATCGTGAGCTCCGCCGCTAGTGCCGGTGACGGTAGCTCGACGCGAGGACTGGGCGGCAATAAAAGGCGGGACGAGGCCATGGTATGCTCTCATGAAACTGGAGTCTAGTGGCTGTTTTAGTGGAAGATTCTTGTTATGAGTCTTTCTTATCACGTTGTATCCTGACACAAGGGATGTAGGGATGGAGGGACGGGCGGTTGCGATAGGAAGAATGATGGGATGTATTTGTACTGTGGGCATTTATGTTGCATTGAAGTGACACTATCAAGGATGGAACACCTTTTTTTACCGTCATAAGATAATTGGCCAAACTTTGAATACAGCGACCTGGCCAATAATTGACTTTGGATACTGGGACTACTACCACCGCCGTCAGCAGCCGCCTCACGCTAAGCCAATTGATCACATATAAGCGATGTAACCTGTTGACTATTCAGCGCTGTAAGAATGCTGGTCATCCTTTTGACATAATGAATATCGTACCATGCCGGTCAGATTGATTGACTACTTCAAGAGCGAAAAGATAATGAAACGCGAACAAATATGTACGTATGATGTTATCATGTGATGTGGGTTGGCTGCATCTCACCACTATTTGATATCATGGTTACCAAAACCATGCCCCGATAAGTCTTTAGCTTCGCCGGGCGACCGGATGCGACCGGATGCAAATGCTGCCCCTCGGCTAAAGCCAATGCGCGAGGAGAGTCTAGACCGTTCAACACAATAACGGGCAGTACAGAACGTCGGAGAATACTGGGGAATAATACAAATGGATGTGCCATATCACAAGATTTCTGTATCACATACCAATGCCACTAACTCAGGGCCGTTTTATATAATACTTTGTGCCTGATGCATTGAGTCTGCCTCTGCCCTTCAAGACATGGTCATCATTGGATGCACAAATTATCATGAGCACCGCTGCTATTCTTTCAGACTTTAACGGTTTCGAATGGGACGGAGCGCCTTTTTCCTCCGAAGTAAGTAGCAGTCGGTATGCGACAGATGCAGAACGACATGGACCCCTGTCGCATTTAGGTGATGTCCAGCCATTGCACAATCTCAACCGTTTGTGTGTCCGAGACACTGGTGCTCTCACAACACCTTGTCACCCCTCCTTGACACTCGAGACTGACACCTCACAGTCGGCGTTCAATAATATTCTGAGCCAGTTCGAGCAGGGTAAGGTACCCATGACCTCGCTGGATGCAGAGAATAACCCTCTACAGATCCTCTCCTCCTCGATCCCTTGTACCAGGCACCTGCTCATCATCTTCGGCCAATCTCACCTGTCCCCAACATACCCCTCACCCACCTGTCATCAAGCCCCTCTTCAGGTGAGCTGCTCAAGAAAGGAAAAGGGTCCTCTCGTATCTCCAATAACTGTATTGGGAATGATGACCTACATGTACAGAGCGGAGAGGGCATGCAGTCTAAGCATTCCATCAAACAACTCGATTCGACCTGGGCCGATATGAACCAGGCAAAGGTCCTGCCGCCAGTACTTACTGCGGGACTCTTGGAGCGACGGGACTCAACAATGAGCAATGAAGAGAGCCCTTTGGGCTTGGAAAAACCTGCCACCCAAGTCATGATGCGCTCGGCATCACACAGGCCAAAGAAGGTCAGCAAGAAACCAGCACTTCCTGCGCATGTCGTACAAGCTAGGGAGTGCCATAACAATGTTGAGAAACAGTACCGCACCCGCTTGAAGCAGAAGTTCGAGCGACTCTTGGCTGTACTTCAAGCTTCAAAGACAAAGGAGGATTCCAGAGGCAAAGGAGACTTGGAAGCACCGGACTGTGGTTATAGTAGAGGGGAGGTACTGGATTTTGCAAGGCAGCGCATCCTCACCCTCGAAGAGGAGAATAAGCAACTGTCTGATCAGGTACTGAACTTGGACAGGGGCTTTACGATTGTTTAATGAGAAAATAGAAGCTTCATGTTGGTAACGACAGTATGTACATAGGTAGTGCAATGAGAAGTTTGTGTGAGTGTGGCAAACCTCTCACTTAATATATGTATTTGCTTTACTTTGAGTGAGACACGTCGAGACCCATGCGTTCCACTTGCAGCATCTGGTGGCGGACTAACTGCAACATGGCGTAAAGGTTATCCTGGTTGCGACATGTCTCAGAGAATCAGACGCTTGATAATAAGGCTAGTTACCCCCGGGCTGACACTGGAGCCCGTGGAAAGGGAAAGCTTCATGCTAAAAGCTACTAAGACCAACAGAAAACGGTAGATTCCATCTGATAGGGTTTTCCTAGCGTATTCGGCACACGATAAACGCCTTGCCTAGTCAATTCCTAGCAAGGGTACCTAAGCATTTTCTATCCGCCCACCATATACATGGACCTGCTGTGGTCTTTCCAGTGTACTGACAAAGTTATGAATACATACAGGGCACGTATCATGTTCCGCAAGATACCATGCTGCGATGCAGTCAGAATGAAAGATATGCTCACAGTCCAGTTGGCGAAGCACGTCCGTGTCGCCGACCTCATCCAGACAGATTGCACTATACCCAGAAAGGACGGTTAGCGAGCGGCACCGAATGATTACATGTCCAGAACCATACCATGTCATGTTCGAGGCTGGTACAACCCACGAGGCGTGAGAATGGCTCATGATGTTCGACATCATATCTTTGCTGGTCCTTGGAGGTGCAAGGGAGTCAAGGTGCGGCAGGTCGCGACGCTGGGAATCATTTGATGATACTGTGGTAGGCGATGTTCCTACTGAGGATACAGAAGACCTTGGCCTCGCCCATCTATAGACTCTTTGAAACCATCAATCGTTATGGCCCCTCCGCAGTCAAAAGGAGGCAAGACGTACTTGGGTATTGCCACCAGGAACATGATGGTCAAAGCCATAACCGGCAGCAGGATGGCAACCAACCACGCCAGCATCGCATTGCTTGGGGCTGCGTCCTCGAGGCTGCTTACATCGGTGGTGTTAGGGCTAGGCATGGCTGCTACAATATGGAGTAGAAAGACATTCCGGCACCGGGGGGGATGGCAGGGATACTGTGTTTGATATGATCTTTTACAGTTGAATTATTCAACAAAGGCGCGGTCTAGACCGCTCGACCCCGCGTGTCGCGATTTGATATGGTATGATTGGCGTCACCATTAATCGAGTCTGTGGCGTGAGTATCATATCACAAAAATAGCGCAACGCAACATGATTGACAACCCTCTCCCAACCAATCACAGATCGCGGAAGATCGTCCAATGGCGTATCATCGTCTCAATTTCCTGAATCTCAGTCCAACTACGTGAGTGACTGCCGCCAATCTGTTCTTGTGACTAACATACAATGCTCATACATGTGATGGGACCGAGCTACCCTTACAAAGCAGTAATCATGTGAGGATAGTTTGCTGACAATCATATGACGCCGGAAGGTTGCAATGGCTCTCTACCGCAGCACCTTCACGCAATCACGAATGAGAAGTAGTTGAGGCAATGTACTCCATCAGGCTATTAATCGCGATATACTTTTCTTGAGATCAGGATGCAGATCGATCAGTTGAGTATATTTTGAATGATCTCTACCGTCACTGACAGCACCTTGACTTAGAATAAGAAGCTCTTCATTCAGAAATTACTCAAAAGTCTGCCTGGAAACCCATCAAAGATATGAATGTTCTTCATCATGCAGAAGAGTTCCGATCTCCTCTACCACATCATTTTGACGGTCATTGACTTTCATCTCGAGCCGTCGGGATCCAAACGAGCGATCTACATTCTTGGCACTCGCGCGACGATCGAAGCCGCCAAAGACTCGGCCTTTAGGGTCCTCCAGACGTTGAGGTACAAGCCTGATGACTTCACCAAGTATGCCGTCCATTCAAGTCATGCCGAAACCTGGGATCACGGCGACGGCGTTCTCATCTACGCGAAGGCTCCCGCAGGCCAGGTATTCCTTGTCTCCATCCAGGCAACACCCAACACCCAACAGCTCCAAGCCGATGGGGACGGTACTATTCTACTACCGCATGGAGTGCCTTCGCTTCACTACGTGACGCAGACTGTCATCGACTACAACAAAGACCGGACCGGGTGCGTGCAGGAGATGCAGATAGAGGGCACGTTTGTTCACCGTGCCGATGCCAGAACAGCAGCACGGAAGCTGCTCGACCCTCTTGACTATTCAGAGTATGACACGCCGGAGAAGATGAAGGGCGAGTGGCCATATGGAGAGGACGTGCTTGTGCACGCAGTCGCGGAGAATGGAGAGAATACTACTGTTGAGATCAAGACTGTTGTTGATACGCACCACAAACACGGTAAGGATATCTGAAGATCCATTGGTGAGAAGCACTTTGTACAACGAATTGACAAGATGTTGCTTCTTGACCTGGGTATTATGAAATTTGATTGGGAAATGGCATGATTATGATTGGATTCGTTGTTTGGGGTACATCTTTCGGCATTGGGATGTTTGTCATTGTTTGTGCTTCTCCCAAATTGAACCTTTACTGGAAGCCCCTGTTAATGATCTAATAAAATTAAACAATATTACCCTGACATGTCTGCGTGACTGTATACTATACTGTTTGCTGCAATTAAGAAGCAATATGGTCTACCATGGCTTGGGAGCTAGGCCACGCGTGCAGATACGCCTAGAATTGTACAAGAGATTACAGGTCGAGGCGCGTGTATGACAAGAGAAAGCATGGTGAGCGTAAATTAAGGAAAGCAGCTATCTACAAGGAGCTGCTAGCAGACCCTCGCTAGCAAGCATAAGGATTGACATGAAGATGCGTCGACCAGCGCATTCGTATACCGCACTGTGATTGACTTCCAGACTCAAATATCGGAACGATCAACGGAGTAAACCTGCGAGGAAACAATCATCCTGGCCCAGTACGAGCCATTAATGGTCTAGAAGTGAAAACCAGGAGGCACGCAGTACGGCGAACCATTCTGCTTGTTGAACAGGCAAGCCGTCTTTGGAGGGCAAGCGCCGGCGAACTAAAGGACAGAGGGGCCGCAGTTAGTTTTCTCTTCCTTGTTAGTGCGCCGCTATGAAACGGGGAGGCTTACCACCCAGGTGCGGTCGACGTTGCAGACCTGCCAGCCCTTGAGGTCGGCCGTGCACGAGTAGGTTCCAGGCGTGCAGCCCTTGGGAGCAGGGGTAGCTGCTGCAAAGGCAGCCATGGTGAGGACAGGGATAAACTTCATGAGACTTGAATTTGTGTGCAGCGAGTGCTTAAAATGATAAGATGTTGATTGAATGTCATTGATGATAGTATAAATTTCGGTTTCGGATGAGATGTTTTATATTTCAATGCATTACCTCAGATATTACTATGTGGTGATTGAGTGCATAGCCTCCATGACCTCTTTCAAATCGCCGATGTTGAAATCATCATACAGGTTTTTTGTCACGAGACGGATTTTGAAAGTGAAGTGATTCCGTGATGTACCAAAATAGAAACATGCTTGTGAGCTAATAGAGCCGTCAGATCAGTTACCTTGGCTAAAAAAGCAGTCGCACAGAACCGCGATCGAAAGACCTTTACAATACGATGTATAACCTCCATCAAAACACCAGCGACGTGCTATGATCTGATTTGATGATGCCCTCCTGTGAGCAAGTTTCTAGTCATTGTCACATCAGGTCTGTCGTTATGGTGTGACTCCTCAATACTACTCTGACAGTCAGCAATATCGAGCATCAGTACATCATCACAACACCACAAACTCTAATTACGCCACATTCCTTGACTGGTCCTGTATGTCTTATAAATCGCGGCAAAGCACAGTGGGACAACCATGTTCCCAGCAATCCAGCTAAAGCACAATGGGCTCAACATCTAGAGTGGCAATAGTAGGCGTTGGCGAAGTCGGGGGTGCTCTCGCTTACAACCTCACGTTGAATTCCATGGCGAGCGAGTTGCTTCTCGTGGACCTTGACCTCAGCATCAGAAATGCCCAGATCGAAGACCTCAGCGATGTCACTTACAGTACTAACAGCAGTACGCGTGTACGTCCAGCCACGTACCATGAGGCTGCTCAATGCGATCTCGTGGTCATAACCGCTGCATCTAAACACATGCTGGGTACGTGTCCGCTTTTTCGAATTGGGATGTAGGCTCATTGTTCTTTCAAGGCCAGACGACTGTTGACTATACGTCTCGGAATACCTCGATGATACGTGAGGTGATGGAGGCGATGAAGCCCTTTCGAGCTGACACCGTCTTACTCATCGTGGCAAATCCAGTTGACCTACTGACATCTCTCGCTAAACAGATGTCGGGACTTCCTGCGTCTCAGGTAATAGGCACTGGTACAGCTCTCGACACCTATAGGCTTCGCGGCATGGTCGCGTCTCGTGTTTTGGTAAGTGAGCGCCGTGATATCGGAACTACCGCATTTCTAACAAACAGCCATAATAGGTGTCATCATCCACTATAGATGCATTCGTTGTGGGCCGTCATGGAGAGGACCAAGTAGTGGCCTGGTCCGCAGCAACCATTGGAGCGGTCCCCATCGATGATGTGAAAGCGCTGAATAGTATCGATCGCAGTAGGATCGAACTCATCTGCAAGCACCGATCGAATCAAATCAGTCTGGGCAAAGGATCTGCACCTTTCGGAATAGCGTCTGTCGCTGCTAGCTTGTGTTTTTCTGTTATCCTTGATAAGCATGAGATGTATCCGGTCAGTCACTTCCAAGAGGACTATGGTTGCTGTCTCAGCTTGCCAGCCGTTATCGGGAGAAAGGGGATCCTAGCTTCAGTTTCACTGGCGATGGATGAAGGTGAGAAGGCTGCGGTAAAGGCATCAGGCGAGTTATTGAAAGCCATCGTTGGATCGATCCAGCGAGACTGGTGGTGATCGTTATTGGCGTCTGTAGGTTTCTGGTCAATAGGTACAATGATTCTAGAGAATTTTCGCGTATCATGGTCTAAGTAAGGTGACTTTGCGAAAACCTCACTTGTGAGCAAGCTACAGCCGACCTTATTGTGTTTGCGGACTTTAACATTCTATTGCACTGCTAGATTCTACGTTGATACATTTATATAGGAAGATTGAAAACAGGATCGGCAGTGGCTTTCACTCTCTATCAAATGTAACAATTAAATGATCGGCTCGTAAATAAGAATCAATCTCAATATCACTAACAATAGGATAATAACTAATTACAAGCCCTTCTCACTAGCCACTACGTGTTTCAAAACCTGAACAAAGCTATCCGGGCTGACAGAGATAGAATCAATCCCCGCATTAACCAAGAACTTGGCAAACTCAGGATGGTTACTTGGTGCCTCACCACAAAGACCAATCTTACAGCCCTCTCGGCCAGCCACTTCAATGGCTCTAGCAATCATCCACTTGACAGCCTCATCCTGTTCGTCAAACAAAGACGCCAACTCCCCAGAATCGCGGTCTACACCGAGGGTGAGCTGAGCAAGGTCATCGGACCCAATGGAGAAGCCGTCAAAGTGATGGCTAAAGCTCGAGGCCAGGATCACATTAGATGGGATCTCGCACATGACATAAACCATGAGACCATTATCCCCTCGCTTCAGACCATTCTGTTCCATCATGTCCAGCACCTTTCGGGCTTCCTTGACTGTTCGACAAAAGGGAATCATGACGATGGCATTGGTGAGTCCCATTTCCTCTCGAACTTTTTTAACTGCACGGCATTCTAGGGCAAAGCCGTCCTTGTAACGAGGCGAGTAGTAACGTGAGGCCCCGCGAAATCCGATCATCGGGTTCTCCTCCTTTAGTTCAAACTCAGCGCCGCCTATCAGGCGAGCGTACTCATTCGTCTTGAAATCGCTCATCCTGATAATGGCTGGTTTGGGATAGACAGCAGAACACAGAGTTGCTAGGCCGGATGCCAACTTATCCACAAAGTAATCGGGCTTGTACGCATAGCCTGCAGCAAGACTGGCGATCTCTTTCTTGGCTGCTTCATCCTCAAGGTGATCAAAGTGTATTAGACCCATGGGGTGGACCCGAATAACATTGCTGACCACGAATTCCATACGGGCAAGTCCAATACCATCAACTGGGAGCCTCCACCAGCGGTACGCAGCTGAGGGGTTGGCCAGATTCAGCATGATCTTTGTTCGGACGGAAGGGAGATCCGATATGTGAACCATCTCGGTAGTGATCTCCGAGATCCCATCATAGACAAGACCAGAATCGCCTTCTGCGCATGACACAGTGACGTCTTGGCCAGTGTGCAGAACATAGGTTGCGTTTCCAGTACCAACAACCGCTGGAACACCCAATTCCCGACTGACAATGGCAGCGTGAGAGGTTCTCCCACCGTAGTCGGTGACGATACCAGCGGCTCGCTTCATCACAGGCACCCAGTCTGGGTCAGTAGACTCAGTCACCAGGATCGACCCATCGATAAACTTGTCCATGTCCGAGACCGAGGTGAGAAGGCAGATACGCCCGGAAACTGCCTTGTCACCGATAGACAGACCCGTGGTCAAGGTGTGGCCGCGTTCACCAACATGGTAGGTCTTGAAGGCAGCCGTGTCTCGACGAGACTGCACAGTCTCAGGCCTAGCCTGCACGATGTAGAGTTTGCCAGAGGAGCCATCTCTGGCCCACTCCATATCCATTGGGCAACTGTAGTGCTCCTCAACAAGACGTGCCCATCGTGCCAACTGGAGAATTTCTTCATCTTCGAGAACATAGGAAGCTCGCTCAGCTCTGGATGTAGGGACGTTGCGAGTTGGTACGCACTTATCCCCGTATACCATCTTGATCGCCTTATTGCCTAGCTTCTTGCTGAGGATCGGCGATAGCTTCTCATTAGACAGGAGAGGCTTGAAGATCTGATACTCATCTGGGTTGACAGTGCCCTGGACGACGTTCTCGCCAAGGCCCCATGCAGCATTGATAAGCACGACCTTGTCGAACCCGCTCTCTGTATCGATTGAGAACATGACACCTGCGCCGCCGATGTCAGAGCGAACCATCTGCTGGATTCCAATGGAGAGAGCCACGTTTCCATGGTTGAACTTCTTGATGTGGCGATAGCTGATAGCTCGGTCCGTGAAGAGTGAAGCATAGCATCGTCTACAGGCATCAAGCAGCGCTTCACTTCCCTGGACGTTCAGGTACGTCTCCTGCTGTCCAGCGAAGCTCGCGTCGGGAAGATCTTCGGCCGTTGCGCTTGACCGCACTGCAACACTCAGATCATCAACACCGACTTTATCACACAAGTCGCGGTAACCAGACAGGATGGCCTCTGCAGTATCAGCCGGCCATGTTCCGCGAAGGAAAAGGGTGCGTATGGCGTGGCCTATTTCAGGGAGCGTTTGATGTCCAGACTGCCATTGATCGACAAGTTCATCGATCTTGCCCCTGATGTTGTTGGAGTCGACATAGTGCCAGTAGGCATACGATGATGTCGCGAAGCCTGGTGGCACGGGGATTCCTTTAGGTCCGAGGGCACGAATCATCTCACCCAAGGAGGAATTCTTGCCGCCGACTAAGCCGACGTCGCTTCGAGCGAGATGCTCAAAGTCTAGAACCAGAGGCTCGGCGGTCCAGTCGTCACTCATGATCGTTACTTGTCTCAGTTTCGCGGATTGAGTCTCCAAATTTTGAACAGAGAGCCTGGGTCTTGTTTTGTTTTACAGGCGTAGAGATTTAAGTTTGTAAATATCAATAAATAAAAGTGCTCCAGATGGCGACCATTCTTAAGATTTTTCTTTATCATCTGATCCGTCAGTCCATGCGTCACTAGACTGTCATGGTCCTGTCATGTCACTAAAAGTATTTCTCATTTCGCCAACATTTTGAGTTTCTGTGTAGGACGTTAGGAGGCATCATGTTGTTAGTCAAAGAGGGGCAAGCAGAAAAGCTAAAAACCCAGAGGCAAAATGAGCAAAACGTTGTAGCATTCTGATGCGCCTGTTTGACTAACTATGTGACATGTGAGTGACCAATGATGCTGCACTAGTAACTGGCTTCCTGACACGTAATCTGTCAGCTGGCACCAATATCTGAGGATGCAAGTAATCAGCTCACATGTCTCTGACATGATGCTGATCTGATTGCTGCTGTGGCTTGAGAACAGTGCCCAGTCTAGCGTTAGTGGTACCCCCCCAGAATCCGCAGCTTTTACTCCATACTACCGATCTAAGTGCAGTTGATTGCTACCTAACATTACTTGACCCTTCTTGTGATTTGCTACGTCGAGCTTTTCCACAAGACGTAAATAGTTATATATAATTAAATAAAGCCTATCTATATTATTTTACAGAATAGAACTAATATTTCTAGAAGCAGTATTGATATAAGACTTACATATTATATTTACTGTATTTATATAATATGAAATATTTAATAATAAATCTTTATAAGACGAATTTAATTTAATATCTTTATAAATAAATAATAATATATTCTTTATAGTTTTTTATTAATAATATTTTATTACTATTTATATATTAATATAAATAATTTCAAAAATAATTTTACTAACCTTTATTGTGTATTGTTTCTAACATTCATAATTAATATAAATTAATTAACCTTTTTTATATTAATAATAAAATATTTAATAAGCCTATTAGTATTTTTAAGGTACTTAATAATTTATTTATAAATAATTAAAGCTTTATTTAATAGGCAGTTAAACATTGCAGATCCCTTAAAACTATAAAATGTAAGATTAGACTGATATTGTAAGTAAAACAGATCTGTAGCTGTATTGCCCCTGTGCCTTAGCCTTGTTATAGATTGAAGAAAAAACAAAATTGCCAATCTATAACAGTTAGCTTAAAACTCAAATAACTGCTAATATGGCAAATTATTTACTTCTTAGTAATAACAACTATAAACACATAGTAAGAGCCTTTGCCATCGCAACTTGCAACAGGGATTCTTTTTATCTAAACGCTTGTCGTGAAATAAAATATTACTAAAAGTCGGGCCGCAACTAGTCTCAAGTGACCACGCCGCACTAGTCAATCGGGACTTTACATCACCAATAAGACAACATATATGCCTACAAGGATATTATACTTGTTTCTTAGCGGCCGCTATTATCTGGCTCTATTGTCTCCTTCTCTGTCCTTTGGTTCTTTTGTCTTCCCTGCCTGTACTAATATATCGTCGATTGTTGCCTTGGAGGTTAAACTTTACGCTGCTAACACAAGTAGTAACTACTACGTAGCCCTGCCCTGCTCTTTGCCTTGTATTGGGTTGTCTGTCCTGCCCCGTTGCTGTCATTCTAATTTTCCTCTAATTCACTACCTCGGTCTTGTCTCTAGAAAATCCGTAGCTAAAAATAAGTAACTTCTATTGAAAATAAAGTGCACAACCCTTGAGGGTACTTGGCCACCACTGTGAGAGATCTAGAGATGCCCATGCCCAGTCCACCGAGCCATTTGTTAGTAAATACATCCGATATTCTGAAGAAGGAGAGCTCTGCCGCACCTAGTGATTCCAGGCGGCGCGCTTCAAGGGTTCAAACCTGTGTATAGGATTAAAAGCAGTCAACATCGCGTAAAATGTCCAGTTACATTGCTCCACGGCCTAAAATGCCCCAAGCGCCAGAATGGCCTAAAACATGGTTTTGGAACTTTTGAGAGGAAGCCGCTTGCAATAGTACGAATTGCGGATTCTATAAATGTGACCCTGACTCGGAATACCCTGGGCTGCCTATTGGTTATCCCGGACCTCTGTCTCTAGTCCGTAGAAGGAAGGTATTGCCCATTTAATTGGCACGTTTCACCTATCTAAACGATGAACGGTCGCGGTAATAACATTGACGTTAAAAGAAAGATTTTGTCTTCAAGGTTAAGCTTTAAACCGCTGAGTTACCGTGTTGCTTAGTGGAGGCTTTATGCAAGGTTTGCATGAACTTGTGAGGCGCAGCAAAACCATTGCCCGGGCATTTTAACCAGATTTCGCCTAGAGTGACTTATCGGTGAGACAACCTGTGAGAACTTGGAGAAATGATCAGAGTTCTCAGCCTCTCACAATTGCCGGCATAGTCTACCTTCTGAAATTGGAGTAGTGAATAAGAAACTGAATGTACGAGCTTTGTCCTTGGCCAAATCTGGCAGGCGGTTTAAAACTGCGGTTCAGAAAAATCGGCTGACAACTTGGCGATATCTCAGGTATAAATACCAAGAGATCTCGTCTTTCTTCCCCATGAACAAGCTTCCACAGCCACTTCAAGCTTTCATTTCCCTGCAGACTTTACTTGTCCTTGCTGAACTCACACTATCTCTCTCTTATCAACTCCACTGACCTCAACACCAAAATGCGCTTCGATATCACTGCAATCATCGCGGCTATGGCCTTGACTGTCTCGGCAGACCGTATGGAGGTCTTTACGAACTGCGCGGCTGGCAGTTGCCATAGCGATGATGGCATCTTTTATACCGACTTTGGTGCCTATCGTGTAAATGCCAATGAAGGGTGCCGAGGAACATCAGTCCCTGCTATGACAGAGTTCTGTATGGACTGGGGCAACCGACGCGGCCACTTTAGGTTTTCTGGACAAGGCAATAAGCGATGCCTGGTTCAAGACTCCGAAAACAAGGTCGGCTGTGGAAGCGACGGAACGGACTGCTGGAAGACGACTTGGAAAGAAATTGCCTGTTACTGGCGCGAGATACCCATTCCGGAAGAACAGCTGGCCACCGAGCCTCATTCGACATTTTTCACCAGTACAGTCCCTACTGTTGCCACCACTTTCGCTGGAAACTAAGGAGCAATCGTGCAGGGAAGCCGGCTGTTGATACACTGTGGCTCGTCAAGGGGCTTTGTTCTCTTTATTGCACTTGATGAGTGGAGGCTCGCTTTATTTATGGGATGGGAGACTTTCAAGAAGATAATTGAATATTCTTACAAGACAGACGTTTGGACAAATCTGGGACCTTTATAAGAATCACTAGGAACTTAGCCTCGCCTATTAGAAAAGCTTACTCTTTCTAACAAACACAAATACTGCTATAACTGCAACAGTCAATTCGTTAATTGTTGAGTTAACCTATAAAACATTGAATTATTGCAAAACTCAAACAACGCTCTCTATGGCTAGAAGGAAACCAGTGATGAAGCAAACAACCGCTGGTAAGTCAACAACTAAAGACCTCGTCAGGTGCATCTCTAACCACAGCCCTAATGATGCAGTACTCGAAGCAGTAGCATCATTACGCCGGATCTTGGCCAGCAAATCGATTGCCTTGGGACCAAAGATAAGGAGATGACCGGCCGCAAATAGAGTTCCGGCCAAGTAAAAGAGAACGATACTCCTAGCCCCAGTGCCATTCCAAGAAGAAGCGGCATTCCCGATTCCGCTTGCCAAACTAAGAGTAAAGCTTCCAAAGACAACTTTAGTTCCCCATGGTCCCCAGTTGGTGAACCAAAGGGGTAGCAGCCCATTTGCCTGCACTCGGTATTGAGGGATTGTCCAGCAGGAGAGGAAGGCGTACTCGTCGTAAGCAAATTGTAGGCTGACTATCGATGATATGACTGGTAATAGACGAAGTAGCTTGGCTGGCAGAAGGAGTCCAAAGACGGTTGACAGTGCGGCAATTGAAACCAAGAGCCATATGATCTGCCGAGATGTTTTGCTGGCCATTGTGTCTCGGTGAGGGATGCTTGTGTTTTTAACGATGGAGCGAAAGACGTGGATTCAATTCAGACCGTAAAGTTGCCGGGACAAGATATAGAAGCAGATATGATATGCGGTACCAAGATAGAGTTCACAGTAGCTTTAAGGATATAATCAGCTGGGGACGTGTTCCTATATATACTTTTTCCTCATCCAGAAACAAGGCGAGGACCCAGTGCTAGCTCTGAGTAAGCTGACATGACCCTAACTGAATAGCGCAAATGATGTACGTAGCGCCTGGGACATACAGCACGCTAAGCCTCCTGATAGCGCTAAGATAGAGCTCGTTAGGGAGCTGCGGGGTTGACAAGATTTACAATCTGAGCCCTAAGAGCTGAGGATGTAATCAACGAAATCATATGCCGCCCTGTCCGCTCACATCGTACTGAGCTGACTGCTGCTGCGGCTTGAAACCAGTGTTGAATGTAGCCGCGAAGGTGCCCCCCAATGTTCCACCTCGATGCATTCACCTACAGGTCAAAACTGCCACTTGGCCACTTCACTATTGACTGTGCTTGTGACCCATGAACCAAGCTTTGATGTAGGTAGATGGTCGATCGTTAAAGGGTGAAAAGTATATCACCTCAAGTGAATTGAGAATGCAATCAGGATATGTATTACAATTAATTATGTCTGTCTAATATATGTGCTTGATATGTAACGTATAATCGCCTTTTTATGTCCAGCCCATTATGCAACTCACATCCTACACTGCTGTAGCAGTCTTCTCCTTAGGCTCAGTCGAGCTGCTATCAGAGACAACACCCTCCTTCTGCGATGACTTCTCCTCTTCGGAATCATCGGTGATGACCTTCCTTGTCTTACCCCAGCCAAAGTTGTCCATGTTGACAACCGCGTATAGCATAACAGCGATGTTGAGGAAAGGACCGAGGAAGACAAAGACAGCCAGGCCCAGCAGGAACTGGGCACGCTCAACAAGGTTTCGAGGAAGCCAAGTAGCCATGATTACATAGTATAGAAGAGGGATAATCATTACACCAGCGAAACACATGATTAGCCACCAAGGTTGACTCATGAAAGCGACAATCATACAGCCAATCGATGCAATGACGAACACGTTGAGAGACCAGGTGAGAACGTTGGAGAAAGCAACGATGCGCTCCCACCATTGAGTGTTCCAAGCACAGAAGAGCAGAAGGTCGTTGCTAGTAGCACCAAGAGTCCAGCGACGACGCTGAGAGAGGAAGACGTTCCAAGAGTGAGGGACGTCAGTGTAAGCGCGGGCAAAAAGGGCCTGGCGAGTCTGGGCGTGAGGGAACGTGACGAGCAATTGGCAAATGTGGTTACGATCCTCTGAGGCTGTAGCGCGGATACGCTTGAGCATACCGTCCATGTGTTTGGGGAAGTAACCGAAGAGGTCAATGAGAACGAGATCACCACAGGTTTCATCGCAGATCTTGAGAAGTTGGCAGCATCCAGGAAGACAGGAGACCTTCTTGGTGGCGATGGACTGATGAAGACGACGAAGACCCTGGGCGATGGTGTACTCGGCAGATTGGTAAATGGACCAGAGGTTCCAGTTGCCATCTTTGAAGTCAACAGCAACGTAACCGCAGACACCGACAGTGTTGGGATAGTACGACTCCTTGAGAAGCTCAGTGACACACCCGTCCTCAAAGACAGTATCGGCATCCATCCCAATGAGATGATCAACGTTGTCCATCTTGACCTCGTTCTCAAGCCAGCTAGTCATGGAGTCGAGGAACTCACGCGAGAAGATGGATTCAGGGTTCTGGGCACGTGTGTTGAACTTGTAGAGGAAAGATCGAATGACGATGAGACTGTCACGCTTGCCTTGGTTCTGGTCCTTGACGATACAGTAAAAGGGCAGGCCCTTGTAGAAGCCCTTCGAGATCTCAATGTCCATCTGCTGACCGTCCCAAGCAGTATATGCGCCTCGAATCTTCTTCCTCTGTGTCTGGTGAAGGAAGATATCCTCGTTGAGGTAGTCGCCAGTGGTCTTTGTCATACCAGGACCACGAACACGGCCATCACAGATAACCATGATGCCCTTCTTGTGATTCTCAAGCCCTGTCTGGTTGACAAGAGAGTCGAGGGACCGAGTGCACTCTTCGAGAGTCTCGTTGTAGCAGGGTATTACGTAGACCATGTTCTCGGGGGATGCGGGCTTGATTTGCTCCTCGGGACTGACCCAGTGGATGAGGGTGAAGGCAGCGATGGAAGCGATCATGATGCAGTTGAGGACGAGGGGGAAGGAGATGAAGGGTAGGTAGATGTAGTAGTATCTGGGCCAGTACCAACTGGCAAAGATGAACATGAAGCTGAGATGTGAGTCAGTATGAGCAAGTGGGATGAATGGGAGATGAACTTACTTGACTGCAATCAGACCAGCTGTGAGAACGTACTTTTGAATAGTGACCTTTCTCTTGCCACGCTTCAGCAAGACAGCATTGCCGACATCATCCTCAGAAGCAGTCTCGACCTTGGGCTTAGCCTGTTCAGCACCATCCCTCTTGAACTCCGGTGTATTATCGCGCTCGGCCGAGGGTTGAGGAACAGGCGTGATCTCATCATCAACAGAAGGAGTAGACGAGTGGCCAGCATCAGAGTGAGAGCCAACAGATGTGTTGTTGCTGATTGAGATAGGAAGGCGGGGAATAGGAGCAATTAGATCGGTGCCCTTTGAGCCAGGGCGACTAGTCACCGAAGTTCTCTGAGTATCTGGTGTACCGACTGACTCAAAGACCCATGATCTCAGAGACGAAGGCTGCGAAGCGCGGTAGCTATCATTCGATGAAGTTTCGTCGGCGAGGTGCGCGGGAATAGGCACGATGGGATATTCAGTGTATGAGACATCTGAACCATTGGAGCGAGCTTTCTCATGGACGATTCGGACATTGGCATGGACTTGGTCCTGTTTCAGACGATGTTAGTCAAAGGGCGGGATGATGTAGTGTAACAGTGACGAACCTTTTGCTTGCCAATGAGGATGGAACGAGGGGGGGTAGTGGTGAGAGAGGTCATTGTTACACCAAAGACGGTATGTACAAGAAGAGAAGAGACGACTTTGGACAAGACGAGAATGCTGGAATGTCGTGAAACACCAAGAAACGAGTGACAAGGTGGAATGAGGGAAAAGAATAGAGTAACCAGTTGAGGCTGGTAACTAAATGACAGAAACCTCCTTATCGAGCGAAGGCTTTTCTTCCATTATAATGTCTAAATTGTGAGCTAGACGTGTTTAATTACCGTCAAGGCTTGTGGCAAAGAGCTCAAATCAAGACAGAGCACTTAGCTTTTTCTTAGCTTGCTTTACCATGCATGGCAGCAATAGTCTCGCTAACTAAAAGCTCTAGACATTCAGCCTCATATCTAAATTGGTTCTACATGGCTAGCTGAGGGCTCAGCTACCAGGTTGGTGTCTCGTGTGTTGTAGTCCCAATTACTTAGATGCGACATGCTACTGGGGCGACTACTAAAGGTCTGGATCGATGAGGATCTGCTTTTCTTCTTGGCAAGCAGACTACTGAGTCCAGCCAGGGGTCCAAACGAAACAAGCTGCATTAATAACGTGCTGCAGTAAACAAGGTGTCCGTGTAGTCCCGGAGGTGGACTGTGTTGTCATGACCAAAAAGGAGATGCTCTAGAGAACCGTCCTTCTTTTGGAGCCTGAACAGGGATCGTGACCAGAGGATATGCATAAATGTTGAGTTGAGGCTCAGGTTTGAGACAAATTAAGACTGATCGAGAATGGCAGCGTGGACATGGTTCAGTCTTGGTGCATTGGTGGTAGACGGTTCAGCCGAAAGGGTTGTCTCAGGCGGCAAGACCCCTGTTGTTGATCGCTCACCCCGGTCATGTGTGAATTGGCATGACCCAACGAGATGGATGATCTGTATGCAACAGATTTCTGCCAGCGAAAGGCCCACAGACCGATTAACGCTCGTAATGTTACCTCTCCCCTCAACATGACACTCTCGAAGCGAGTCTCCCCCTCTCTCTCCATCGGCAGTTGTCCTAGATTACCTTAACATTGCGGCTGAGCGGGAAGCAATAATCATGAATCATCGGGGCTTTATTGAAGTTGCTTTTTGTCTCAAAAAAAGGTCATAGGATCTGGCCGTTCCTTTGGCTGAACAAGGGGGGACTAATATGGACGCGGCTACCCGTAGATCTGAATCAATAGTCTGGTCCGCTAAGACAGATCTAGAATCTAGCCAGCGATCTATCCACACCGATCCTCGAAGCTGCATATTTTATTCCTTTTCATAATTTATTCAGGCATAAATTGGCTTTGATGCACGCTAAAACACGGGTGTCGCGGCGGATCAATAAGCTTAAGATCTTGGCATCCACGCTGAAACGGTTGAATCGGGAAGAGAGTGGGAAGTCTGGAGTCTCGTGGGGAATAATAAGACATCGAGAAGTCAACGCTTCACGTTATTATTTTATAGCTCGGTCCAGTCCCAGCCAGAACCGGAACCCAACGAGGCCCAACGTCAATCATTATTCTCCCAGCAACATTGATCATCACGGCGCTTCAATCAGGTGACAACAATCAGGTTTCCTTCCTTCAGCCTCATTTCGCCACTAATGGGAACAATACGGTAGTTAATGTCTCTCACCCACGCCAGCCCCTCTTAGCCCCGCCCTGGCTTTAAGACTGGTCCTCAACACCAACCAAAAAGAGGAGCAAATCTTGCCGTGTCTCACCAGGACCCGTCTTCCCGTTACACAGAATGGAGAAAACGCTATTCACAGGAGATTATTTCATGCGTGTTTTCCTTTTTGTTCATATTGTTCTTCTTTCAGCCGCCGGAACTTGCGCTAAATGTGGGGAATATCATGCTACACGGTGAGACACCTTTGCTTTTCATCCCATGCTTTTCAAAAGTTCCGGCCGAGCCGTGTTTTTTTTGTTTTTTTTTCCAGCACGGGCGATCATACCCCTGACCTTATATTGCGGGAGGATCTACTGACCTCAATAGCTGGTTCCGAGCCATCGGATACTGTACTCAGCTTCCAACGACAAGCTTTTGATTTAGGTTGGTACGCAGAGAAACCTGGTGAAAGACTAGATCAACCGCCTCCTGAGATTACCCCATGGAGCGGTCTAGAGCCCAGAGTTTAGCTTTCGGGCACTAGAAGAGGTGATTCAGACCCTCATTGGCTCGGTTGAATCAATAGTCTCTGCCACTTCTTTCTTTGGCTTACAAAGTACCCAAATATTCAGGAACTTCTTACAGCCCTGCATGGTTGACCAATGAACAAGTTTCTTCTTTGATCTTGGAACGGAGTTTACCGTGTGTCTCTCGGTGTTTACATTCGCCATGGGTCAATCCGCCCAAGACATACTGTCACTTAACAACATGCAAGCTCGCGATGAAGTGGCTTCAGAAGAAACGAGGCTCAATTCAATTGTTTTCATCCACACCGTCAATCATTTGCCCTCAGTCTGGACCAGGATCAGAGCTTTAGTGGAACCGTTCAGCTGGGTTGGAGCTGCTCTTGCTCGGTGCCGTTGTAGCATGAGGCGTTAGCACGAGGCGTTCGCAATACAGAACGCCGCGAGGAATAGCTTCTTCACGCCTTAGAATGATGCGCATAATTCAGTATTATGACTGTGCCTGAATCTCTCATAAGTGCTGGTCTGGAACTTGGAGGAAGAATACTTAAGATGTTCGGCTTGAGCTGCCTTTGTAAGAAGGTCAAACACCGCTGAACCTTTTCCACCTGAAATCTCTCGCTCAACTTTGCGTTTTCTCCTGCTCTCATCTTCTTCCTTTCAATCTTTGAAGTACTTGTGACGATGGAAGACTTCACTGGCATGTTGACACCTTCAGTGTCTTCCTCCTCTTTCCCCTTCTTCCCAGTCACTCCTCCTCTCAGCTCCGTCCCCTCAGAGACAGACCTCACCCTCAAAATCTCTACCGATGTCACTCCCGATGATATCCCGGTGGTGGTAGTCGTTGGAGTCGGCTACGTGGGAAGACATCTCGTCAGCTCATTCTCTTCAAAGTATCAAGTCATCGGCTTTGATGTTTCCGAGAAGCGCATTCAAGATCTTCGACATGAGTTCAAGGACAACGACAACGTTAGCTTTTCACGAACTCAGAAGGATCTTATCGCTGCTACCCACTTTCTCATTTCAGTGCCTACGCTGTTGCGGCCTGATAAGACTATTGATTCTTCGTATCTTCGTGATGCTCTCAAGATGGTAGGCCAAGTCGCCCGTCGGGGTTCGACTATTGTTATTGAGAGCTCTGTTGCTGTTGGTATGACCCGTGAGTTGGTCGGGCCCATCGCCAAGAAGCTTGGTCTTTTTGCTGGCATGTCTCCAGAGGTACGTGACACCCTCACTCATCAATCTCCTCTCATCAACAAGGCGTGTACCAACTCACAACTACAGCGCGTTGACCCAGGTCGCACCGAACCCCCCGTCAAGTCGATCCCCAAGATCATCTCAGGTCTCGACGACATCCTCCCCGGCTCCCTCGATGCCATCAACCGTGTATACTCCACCATTTTTGACAACGTCGTCACCGTATCCAAGCCTGAAGTTGCCGAGATGATGAAGCTGTACGAGAACTGCCAACGCATGGTCTGTATCGCCTACGCCAACGAAATGGCTGATGCCTGTATCCCGCACGGTATCGACCCCTACGAGGTCTGTTCCGCGGCGTCTACCAAACCGTTTGGCTACATGCCTTATACCCCTGGTGTCGGTGTCGGCGGACACTGTATTCCCGTCAACCCCCACTATCTTCTTGCCAACAGTTCATTTCCTCTACTTGAAGCCTGTTCATCCGCCATGAGCAACAGACCCGCCAAGCTTGCCCAGCGTCTCATCAACTCACTCCCCATCACCGAGCGTCGCCCACGTGTGCTCGTCGTTGGTCTTGGTTTCAAGCCTGGTCAATCTCAGCTTGACAACTCACCTGGTGTCGCGCTTATTCGAAAGTTGGCTGTTTCGGGTGCTCGGATTGACCTCACTTGGGCTGATGCGTTGGTCAAACAAGAGGCTGTGCCTCAGGTTCCTCGTCTTGGTGAGCGTGATTGGAACAAGAGCTTTTTGGAGACATTTGATGTCATTGTGGTGGCTATGAAGCAGCACAACATGGACTTTCCGCTGCTCGCAAAGTTGGAGGGTGTTCGTGTGGAGAGCTGGTGCAAGTGATTGAGAACTTTCTGTTTTTGGTGATTGTTTCGTTAGCTGATGTAAGAAAATGTGTTAATTAGATTTTCATTCTGTCGCGAGATAATAGCTTAGAGTAATACGTATCTTGGCATCTTCCTCACTCCGCTTCACGAATGCATTCGATCGAGTTGGTCGCTTGACGAACTCGACTTTCCTCTCTCTCAATACCACGACCCAGGGCGGGCCTCTTGTTCAGCCATCATCGCTCTCACTCTCCTATTCCCATGTTCAAATTGGGTATCATGTGTCGGATCATGCCGCGTCTCCAACGAAACAAGACAATTCGAAACTTCATCTCGCTAAGTCAACTAAGACATATGACATGTTGAAATGTGAGCTTCATTAGCGTTATACGCTGTGCCTTTCTCCGCCAAGCGGCGGATCTTTGTACTGTATTGGTTACAAGTCATTTTTGGTCGTCTTTGACTCCCTCCCGCCAATTTCCAGTCACGCCTCGAGCTAGGAGAAGGCCGAGCTTGCTGTATTTGGACGAAGCGATACGAGATAAGTGACATGATAAGATAACGACCCTTTTCGCCAGTGTTCAGGGTAATCGATACGAATTACAAGCCAACAATTAAGCATAGCAGGACAGCCTTAGTTGAAAGTGGTAATCCTGATTCCAACTAGCCTGGATTTACGCAGACTCTCAAGCAGCTTTGGGAAAATCCACCACTCAGTATGACACTGTAGACCGTTGAATGTCTTGAAAGACGCCTTATCCGATCCATTAGCACGTGTAACATGGTTTACCGGGTATATATAGAACCCGAGACAGTTCTCTGGCTAGTAAAATGGCATCTTCTGCAATCGCCGACCACCAGCCTTCGTAGCGATATTTGGTGGCGTTAGGCCATTTCCCAACGCATGCATCACACGCAGATTTCTCTATCGCCAAGAACAAATCAACTTTTTTGACCTTTCCTGCGCTCCTTTGCGCACTTTCACGCTAGCTACCGAGCCGTTCCCAAAACGGCATAAACGATCGATAATTACGGCTCGTTAGTCGCGCTGATTCGGTGCTAGAGATGGCACTATCGATTCTTGCATTACTCGTCTCAGTCTAATATTAGATGCAACCCCCCACACAGTCTTAGTTTATTCTTTCACTTAATCTGCCCATTGACCATGCCGCCTTGATTCACGGCGATCATCGACTCAAATGGGGATTTTACAAAAACTTGTGGTTTTCGTGCTCATCACAGTGACGAGAGCGCAGGAAAATGTGACGGAGACAAAGCCTGAAGACTGGGAGGCCGACCAGTGCGATTGTTACCTGACAGACGGCATTGAACCAGAATATTACACGCAGCATCGGTTCTGGGACTTTAGAAAGCTTGGAGACTACGCTGGCATTCCGGACACGATCGCCGGAGAGAATGCATCGGCTGAAGCAGACATCACAAGCAAATACTTCAAGAAAAAGGAATGGAAGGACTTTTGGGCCATCCAGAGCTGGAGCAACCGAAGAAGTCACGACACTCTGGCTTACGGCGCGAGATTTCCCATGGTCAACTCTGCAAACAACATTTACATCCGGGCCAACCCAGATAAGAACCCAGCGTCAGAAACATACCTCTCCATGCGAACGAACCGACAACGAGACTTTCAAGTCGCATCTGAGTTTGACTCGATTGATCGCTTCCAGTTTCTGTCCATCAGATTCCTCGGTCGCGTGAGAGGTGCACCTGGCGCTTGTATGGCCATGTTCACGTACGTCCCCGCTGAAGAGATCAAGAACGTGCAGGAAGCCGATATGGAGATTCTCACGCGAGAAGACTACGATCGGGTCCATTATACGAATCATCCGGGTTACAGCATTGAGGGCGAGGTATATCCCAAAGCAACGCGGAACACAACACTCCCCGATGGTCTCAAGTGGAACAAGTGGGTAGAGCATCGTCTGGACTGGACACCAAGCCAATCAATCTGGTACGCCAACGGCAAGCAAGTCGCCAACATTTCCTTCCAAGTTCCCCGCGATCCATCTCTTATGATCTTCAATACGTGGGGCGATGGAGGTGTTTGGACACAGAACATGACGACAGGCGAAGAAGCGTACATGGAGATGCAATGGCTCCAACTGCTGTACAACACCAGTGATGCATCTGATAAGCGCAAAAGAGATGATGCGGGGCCGAAGGGGAGGTTTTTGAGGAAGAGGGGTGATGAAAATGTTTGCCGAATGGTGTGCAGTATTGATGAGGAAGATGGTGCTGGGGTAGTGACGTGGCTTTGGGGGAATAATACCGCGAGTAGTTTGTTGGCGGGTAGTGTTGGTGCGAGTTTTGGGGGGTTGATAACCTGGGTTTTGGGCTTGGTTGTGTTGGCGAGATGGATTTAATTGTTAATACTGTTTTAGTTCGAGAAAAGTAATATTGAGCGATTTGAATTCTTGTTTCAACGGGTTGTCCGAATCTTGGGGTTTGGCCGAGTTTTGGTGATGTTTGTTACCATCGCGGGGCCAAACACGTTTGAGGTTGACGCCACGAAAAGGTCATCTGAACTCCGCAAACGTTAGTGATGGTCCACACGACGTGCATGCCAACCAAAAACCGGTAAGGCTGTTGGTCTAGATGAGTAGCCAACTAGAACATGACCGACTAAGACATCGTGTTGTTAAGTGGTTACGACACGAACATCAATCAATGCCCCGTCGTCGGAAGCAGAAATAGCTAGATGATGTAACATCGCCTGCATTTAAACTTCTTGCTGCAACTAGAACAAGACGGGCTAAGATTTAGTTACTACAGTAAACTCTAAGCATACAAGCTAGATCTCGGCATAGCGATCTGGTTGATGTCTGAAGGTTACCCTTTCCATTGACGCTCCCAATACATTACCAGCCTTCCGCTCGCGATACCATCGTCGATGGCTGGCTTCTTCATGGTTAGGCCTTGATCCAAACAGTAGCGAGGTTATGAGGGTTATCAACTGCTTCATGTCTCCCATCATAGACAGTCGGTTCTTGATCTGCCATATCCAGACCAAATACATGAGTGCGCATGAGTCTCGTCACACTTTCTACCCAGCTCCTCATGCGTCTATCGGATAACACGTCGCGTCATGCCCAGCGCCAACCCGATCATCAGTCCAGCCCAATGACGTCCCATAAATCTTGCACTTGCTCTTCCAGTCCGCATCCTTGATCGTCCCATTTTTGTGCTCGTCGCACGTCCCAGTCTTGCTGTCAAATTGCGCCTAGAAATTGTTTCAGTTATGCTCAGCAGGAAATACGGATATACTCACGACATCCTTGTAGTATGACTGGCAGACTTCTTTGGTGACGTCGGGATTTGTCATCCACCAAGCGTCACTGGCGTCTTTGATATGAAGACAGCAATTATGTTTGCTGAGATCCTTTGCGTCCTCTCTGTTGAAGTGAGTTAGTTGAGGGCTCAGTACGGGATGCAGGGATGGTCATACGCGTGGACGGCTCCAATGAGCAGGCAAGAAAGAACGAAAGACTTGATGGCCATCGTGGTGCCTAAAAGTGGCTGGATGAGGTAGCGAAGTGGGTGATGTTGAAGGAGCTTGTTCCAGATGGAATATTTATTGTCAGTTCAGATTGACCGCCGGTAACCCTGATAGTAATTCGGCAGTTATCCTGCCTGCATTGACCATGCCCGATATTCTCCAATGAGCCCTGGTTCTGATACTGTCTGGACATGGAATCTCCAGTTTTCATCTTACTCGATGCTACGCTGCAAACCTGATGACGTCGCAAGCCTCTCCCGCCTTTCCGGCGGCCGATTCGCCTCAACAGGTCTGGAGCTGAGCCGCGTGTAGCGTTTCGTTGGGTTTCCCGATGATGCTCACCGCCATTGGACAGACCGCGCGTAGTATCCCGTCACAAATGCCACAACCTAAGAACAGGTAGAGCAAAGGTCTTTTGAGATGCTGGTTCTAGCCTTATATTGTAAAAAATATGTCCATCATGATAGTAGAAGTGTGCTATTTTTGCAACACAAAACAACGGCAAAGATTGAGGGTTTGAGGGCGACTCGAGCCTCAACAAAAATGCGAAGGACACATCATATCAATTTCTGTGGTCGTGACTTCAGTTAGGGTAGGGTAAGCTGAATAGAATTAACGATGTAAGCACCATGCTGTGTTGATCGAAAGTTAGGCATGATAGTGCCGTCTGTTCTTTGTTCAAGTCAAACGCTTTTGGAGCCATGAACAGGCGATGTCGAATGAACAGCTGGTGCACAGCTCTGCTGCGAACTACAAAGACAAACAATTGTGTAAGAGAACAATCCATAACGTGTTTGCACTATATAAGTCTTAACAATTCTGTGATCGATCATGGTCCAGCAGCAACTTCCACCAAGCACTATCCCCCAATCTTCACAGCAAGAAGAGTCAAGGTAAGCACCAAAATATCATTACCATGGACCACTATACCAATAGCATGACCTGCACCGACTGCATTGATCTCGCAGCCAATGTCGCCGACCTCCAGCATGCCCTGGCACTGACTAAGAGTGAAATGAAACGCCGCGAAATAAAAGCCACGGCGCCCTTCCAATTCGAAAAGAAGGACATGAGAATCATGAAACTAGAGTCTTACGTCCATCAAGCTCAAGAAGCTGAGATCAAGGCTGCGGAGGCTGCATACGAGGAGTGCAAACGACATCTCGAGATTCTCAAAGGTCTTGACTGTAAGGACCTAGAGGCGAAGAGCGACAGGTTTGATAAACTGGAGGAGGGTCTTTATGGGGCGCGGCAGCGAGTACAGGACGCTAAGAAGAGGCAGTTAGATTATCTGTTAAACTTCCGCTATGCAGAAGATGACTGAGGGAAAAGAACATATTTAATGTGATAGTATACAGTCAAAGGAGTTTGAATCCCGTTTGTAAGTTGTAATACTGTTGATGAGACAAGTTGATTGTGGCTGCAGGGTTTGTATGAGCGAATTGGTGTGTTGATTGCTAGAACTTGTTTCTATGTCTGAGTTGGTCCATCAAGTGAATGAGGACATCCTGATCCTTTAGGAATAATCCGAATTTTTAAACCCCTTTCTAAGAGCTGCAAACGCCGTTAACACAGTTTCCTGGCTTTTGGCACGGGACACTTGAGCTGCAAGACCATCCTTGACACCTAGCAGGACCAGTTAGTATCGGGACATGCCACTTCTCATAAGGTCACTTACCCCCAATTACAAGCCTTGTCGCTGCATACACCATCAGGGGACAGGCATGTAAGGCCGCTATTGCACAACTTGGTCTGACCGTCACACTTGGCCCCCAAACCTCCTGTGCTAGAACCACCACCAGAACCACCGCCAGAACCCCCGGACGTAGGAGGCCAGGACGCACCTGGCGCAGCATACTGGGTGTTGACTCTACCTGTGAGCTCCCATTGAACACCCTTGATGACGTTATTTTTGTCACCGTTTGGATTTCCGTGAATGTTGGAGTAGGCATCGATCATGATGTCGATGGATGCGGGCGTCTACGTATACATATCAGTACTAATCCCACCAAAGCTCGCCGGGTGACTTACTCTAACCCATTTGTCGTCAAAGGAATCGCCAATGTACATGAGCTGACTCTTGCCGGTCGTGGGGTCCGTGACCTTGGCTTCCAGACCACAATATTTCCTAGTCTGTTGTCTCCAGGCATCGGGGTTAGAGTTGTACGTGGCACCACCCATCGCCTTTAGAGACTGTGAAATCATAAGTAGGTGTTCAACATGGATCTGAGGTTCGATTTAGCTTACGGGAGCAAACACAGGGTCCGAGTTGTAGTATTTGTAGCCACACCAGCTTTGTCCGTTGGTTGAGTCCTGGCCCGTGGAGGCGCGGTACCATGAGCCAATGCCGGACTGAGGACCGGAAAAGAAGCCAGAGGGGACGTTGACGTTGTAGATATCCGCGACAACTGGTGTCGCGATGGTTCCGACCACCATTGAAAGGGCGATGAGAGAAGGCATGGTGAATGAAGTTTGGGGCGAGTCGAATGGTTCTACGATGTTAGAGTATTGATGATGATTGCCTTGACTTTCTCGGTCTTCCTTATATATGCTTCTCAACCTGTTGACTTAAATCTTGACAATCGGCTGAAAATTTAGGAGTATTGAAAGCTAGCTCGTCATGGTAGCAGATCATGTGTTAGCTAGAGTCTATTGCCGAATATGAAACTCCGTACCTGGCTCAGCTGCCTAGAGTGGATACATCCATCTGATTCCTCGGTCTCGCCACAAAGATCGTCCGATCAGTTTCCTCTATCATAGGCCGGTGCACCCGAACTATATCGCCTTGCCGGAATGAGCAGGTCGTATATGCAAGCATCATGCGGATACTGAACGTCGTTACTGCAACCTTTTGGTTGAAATGGTCGTGCGCAAAGGTTTCATGCATATATTGAAAGATCAACACGGTCTAGCTAATTACGGTGACCAATCAGACTCATTGCATTATTAGCATATTGGGGTACTATCTTAAAGAGGATCAGCTGAACCTGGCGGGCTAACCGAGGACACCTCCAATATCAGTTTCTGGGCTCGTATCTCTGCCATTACTCCCTAAACAGATATATGGGCAGAGCCTTATTGCACACCGCACTACCAATTCGCGCATTAGCCACCACATTCCTTATCATGATTGGTTGGTATCGGCTACGACGGCAGTCTTTAGGGCCGAGCCTGATTTTCTCGACCTTCGACATTTGGGGGCCATGATGCCGCGGTAGTCTGATAGAGTGTGATAAGGGAAATGACGTCGCTGAAATGGCGGAAGTTAAATATTCTGCGCAAATATTTCTTGGTACCTAATTGCTATAGGACGAAATCTATTTAGATAATTAAGTTGTAGAAGTTCTATGTCAACTTCCTGCCCATCCAAACACTGCTGGAAGGTTGTGCTGATCAAAGGTTACATGCTTACAGAATCCTAGAAGACTCTTTCGCGCATTCTAGCCAATGTCACCATAAGTCGGCTGTGGTGCTGCATATGCACGACATACAGCCTGAATATGCAAGACGCCGTTCACACTCATTAATTATAAATACAAGGCAAAGACCTCTAGCATCAAAGGAACGCCATGGCAGTATTGAGCATCATTTACCCAACCACTTCTTCAAAAAGCCCAAACTATGAAAGGTCCCTGTACTACAGTGTGTCTAGCGCTGGCTTCTTTTGGTCAATTGGCCGAGGCCAAGTCTGGTTCTTGGTCTGGCACCAATAACTACTTCCTGCAAGGTATGTCAGACTCCGCCCAGGACGCTTACATCCAGACCTTGTCCTCCTACAACACCAAAGTTGTCAGGCTCTGGGTCAATCAAGCTAGCAAGGGCTGCCAGAAAGGGAGCCAGATCATCAGGGATATCCCGCAGTTGGAGACTACTATCGGGCAGTACAACAAGGTAACTTTGGATGAGGTTGATAAGCTTCTGGTGAAGTTGTCGGATAAGAATATCAAGGCTATCATCTCGCCCCATGACGCCAACTCCCTGATTGGAGATTACAGAAAGTAAGTATTGTCTATCTCACATTGCAAGGACCTGCAATTTCTAACATTTGCAAGGGACGCCTATTGGGCTCGTTGGGGCGCCGGGTATTTCTATGAGAAGCAAGATGCCTTTGATGCATACGACGCTCGCCTGTCGTACATTCTCAACTACAAAGGCGCATACTCCGGCAAAGTCTGGAAGAATTGGCCTCACGCCATCTTCAGCTTCAACCTTCAAGTATGAACCCCAAGTCATCGCATTAGCTCGTATCTCTCTAACGCAGTCTGCAGAATGAACCCATGACTCCTGGACCTAGCAACTGCAAGAACGGTGATCCTTCAGGCTGGGCGTGCGGCCGTGCTACCTTCATGCGCAACGCAGGATTGGACAGCCATATCCTGATTTCCACTGGTGGCCTGGGTGGTGACTTTTCCCACGGCTGCACCTTTCTCCCCGCCGTGACTCAGTGCAAGGCCATCGATGCAATTTCCGTCCACCGATATGCGAGCGTCCCTGGCAAGTGGAGCGCCAACTTACCCAGCTGGCTGAGCCAGGCCAACGGGAAGAAGGTCTTCCTCGAGGAATGGGGAGTTGATTCGCAAAAGTACGATCAGAAGTCGTCATTCGTCTCGGAAGTGAATGATATGAATTCTGCTGGTCTGCCGAACCTGTACTGGCAACTTCTTCCACCGACATCTGGAGGCTGTAGCTACAACCCCAAGGATGATGCTGGTGATCCTTTTGGCATCTATACCAACTCTGGGGTTAACTTGGCGGGTCCCATCAATGGCGCTACCTCATCGGGGGCTGCGCAAGACTGGACTGGCAGTCTTTACTAAGCGCCGCTATTCATTCTAAATAGTGGTCGTTGGGATGTGGATTTGTAGGACGTTTTCACCTGAATATAGGCCCTGCTAGCAAGAGTGGGGAGGTAATTGGATTACTAGAGAATTGAAGCAAGTAAGAAGGAAATATTTATGGTATTTCTTGTCGCGTCGCAAACTTGTTGCGATTGACTTGCGATTTGCTGAGGCATCCATGCATGATAACCAAATGTCGGAGGCCCACCGTTGCACAATCAACCTACCACTTTGAGTAGATCCAATCATCTGCAAGAGGGGTAAAGCCATTCAGTAAATCTCGTCATGAGCTCATACAATATCCATCATTTATCACCTCTCAGCTACTATAAAGAACACTTACGGGAGTCTACATCATTCCTTTTCGCTTTGGCCGACTGTTCACCAAGATCATGAGCCAGCAATCTGTCTCCCAATCTACTGGTAACGGGAATGCAAGTCTCGGGCCGACCGTTGTATCCGTGGAAACCAGGAATGAACTGAAGAAAGTACTGCAAGATCTCCACGAGCTCCGAGCAAAACCCACGCCGATCTATCTCGATGCAATGGGAATCGCCAAAGACGAGTTAATCGACCTCAACTTATTCGTTCCATCAAACAGAACGCTATACACGGTCAACGTGAGAAAACTGGGAGATGTAGCTTTCTCGGCCGTAGGCAACTGTGACATGTCTCTCGGAGTGCTTCTTGAGACGACAAACATCCCCAAGGTGGGATTCGACGTCCGCGACATATCCCGAGTTTTATTTCACCAATTCAATGTATCACTAGCTGAAGTTCATGATATAAAGCTCATGGAACTAGCAAGTAGAAAGGACGGGCAACAGAAAAAGTACCTATCGGGACTAGCAAGATGCATCGATCAAGATGTCTCAAACGGGGATCCCGACAAAGTCCGGTGGCTCAATCCCGCTAATGCAAAAGACCTACGATTCTACCAAAAGTTCGGCCATGCACCATACTGGATTATGAAGCGGGTCGAGATATTCCCATCATTATTCGATGTTTACAACACCAAGCTTAGCAGACTGGACAGTGCATGCTGGCTGCGCCTTGCAGAACAAGAGTCAGAACAAAGAGTTCATGCCGCTAAAGGGAAAAGCAAGAAGAGAACGGAGAAAAAGAGCTGGGGTCCAGAGGTCTTCTGGGACGATCAGCAGAAGCAGACAGCCAAGGACGCCTGGAAGGAAAGCATTATGTTAAATGCGCTGATGGGGGACATTGACATTGGTAATGACGATCAGTAAATGCATATGGAATTTCATTTTATTAAAAACTAACGAGTGCGATAGTAATTCTTCAATAAATTTCGCAATTGTGCTTATTCGATGTAGACACAGCCTGATGGTCGTCAGACCATCCACAGACTCTCACGTTGATTTTAAGACAACATTGACATATCTAATTACCAGAAGAATATAGCTAGCTAAGAGGAGCGGCGCCGGAGAATCTACTATTTCTTCATTCAATCGCATCAGCCCTTTTTCCATGTTCACTGGGTCTGAAGGCTTCAACCGAAACGCATGTCCGGGCACTCAAATCATGCTCAAGTCGGTCGCCGAAATATCTGCTTGTCCATACCGCTTCAGGAACTCGAGTCTCTTGACAATTCTCACCGGCAGTCGCCCGTCTTCAGTTGTCTCCTGTCGGCCAAATAGACGTCGAGCATACCAATCCATGCGACGTGTGTAATGGCCATTGTTTCGAGTCATGCGCGGGCGACCTTTCTGGTGGTATAATTCGCAGTATCGGTTTTTGACCATTTTCTCTTGGGCTTTCAGCTTCTCATTCTCACGAATGTTATCCAGAACGGACGCTAGCCAATGCGCTGGGATGACTTGTGTGCCAAGGTGAAAGTAGAGGATCATTTTATCCTCCTCAGTTAGGAGAAGCGAGTCTCCGGTACAAACAACATCGGCTTCCTGGATTAGTTCAGAGCGTATGAGCATCAGTTGGTCGATCTGCCTGCCGATTCCCTCCTTGAACTCCCTGTTTGCTCTGTCTACCTTGAAGCGAAGCTCATAGACCCGAGCGAGGTCTTCTGCAAAGGTGGACACGCGTTGTTTGTAGTCTTGTCGCAGTTCCGACATGAACTTGTTGCTTCGGAATGGCAAGGACTGGTCAGACATATTGATAGTTCTTTGACGGGAAGATCTCAAGTATTGTAGATCGTATAGATTGCGGATGCAGTAGGATGTTATTGAGAGTTGATGTTGGATGATTGTGTTGGCCTGTAGTGGTGAGATAAGATGAGGTTGTGGACTGGATGTTAATAAATCGAGATTCGGCGGAAATAGAAAGTCTTTCGATATTTATACAAAAAATACAAGTGATCCGAACAATAAAGTTCGAATCCGTACCAGAGAGCACTGAACAGAATGGCTTCTCGGCGTCTCATTGTGTAGGGTCAATTTGAGCAATCTGAACATCAAAAGTTCTTCTCCAACATCTGTTGCCATTGGGGCACTTAGGCCTACGCTCCACTGAAGAGTCCCGCCACAAGGTGCTGCCAGTGTTCAGTACAGGGGGGTTTAGTTATGCCCAGCACAAGGCCTTAGGTGTTCAGCTACGCGTCTGTGCGATCTATATTGTCTAAGGAACTAAAAGCGTCAAGCTCTTCTCTAAGCGATAAAAGAATTAAGTCAAGTTTACGATGAATTCTGTAGACCCTTAGATTGAACTTTTCTAATACTTAGAATGAAGATCTCAACTTTTGTTGCACAGTCATGAATGAACATGGTATGTCTCCCAATGCATTGCCCCAAAATGAAAGACACCATCTTTCCTAACTCTATTTCACGCCATTTCTTTTTCTTCATAAGACACACTCTCGTTACAGCCATTTTCTCGCATTGGGTCCAAGCTGGCCAATCTCTCCTCATACACGCTCATAAAATCTTCACAGGATCGTTTCAGCTGCACGTTGGGAAACGAAGGTGCGTCAATTTCCAAAATCTCATCAATGTCCCTCGTAAGCTTCTCAATATCATTAACCGCAGCGATCATTTTCTTTGTCGCAATGCCTAGAATATCTAACTTGCTGAGAGCCTCCACAGCTTGTCTGTACCCAACTTCGTGCTTACGTTTGTGGTTCGGTGAAGCCTTTTGCACACTTGGTGTGTTTTCTCGCATGTGCACACTACAGGTCGTCAGTTAGGCCCACGATGGATCTTTGGTAATCTCACATTACCAGGAGAAACAGTTCGAGACATGTCACCTGCATCCGCAGATCGGGCATGAGATCGGCTGGATCCTGGTTTAGAAGTGTCGTAAGCGCGGCGGGTGAGATGGTAAGCTGGGGTGGGGATATGCTTGTCAGCTTTAGCTTCTTGGTCAAGCTGGTGCTTGGAGAAGAGGGGGTCGATGCCCTCTTTCGAGATGAAGCGAGGGTCGACATGGCACGAATGCAGACAGCTGGTGAGTCAGTTTGCTCAATTGAGTCTTAGATCCTTACTTATAATTGCTCTTCTAAACTCAAGTCGATCTCATGGCTGATGGTTACACGAGTAGGCTATCTCAATAGCCTGCGTACTTTTCTCTGCAAGCCGTGGAGAAAACTTGGATCTGAAGCAAATCATACTAGTGAGATATTGGTGGTCCACTGCAGCAACCCGTTTACGGGCCGCAATTCCAAAGGAAGTCGGACCAAATGGATGTTATCCATTGGAGGAAACTGGCGTACTCCAACGCTGATAAGTAAGCATAATTCTCCATACTTGAGACACTTGGTGGGCTCTCCAACCTCGTGGCACTGAACACTACATCATGTGGCGGAGAAAGTGAGACTTGTGTCGCGTAAAATTACGAGACCTCGGTGCTGGGTATATCTTGGCGAGTAAGACGCTTTCTAATTGGGCACTGGACTGCGCGCTGTCACTGCATATGCAGCTACAATGGCGTTGTCACGTTTTCTCTCCGAGATATCGATTCAGAAAAGTGATGAGATATGTCTCAGATGCACGATCAATGGATGCACATTTCTTCAGACCGGATCAAGTACCTTTTTCTACAGACGTGGCGGGTAATTGGTCACCAATGAAAACATCGATCCTCACCGAATCAACTTAGACATGCAACTATTGCAAGCTCATGGAGGTGCAGCACTCGTCAAATGACCAATGCAGGTAGTACACCTATCAGCCAAAGGACCAGCCCAGTTAGACAGCGTAGAACCTCGAAGAAAGTCACCACGGCAGCTGGGAATATGAGCGCAGTTGTGAGTGCGGGAAAAGGCTCAGAGCGGGGTTCTTAGACAGAGCTGAACTGCGCGATCAGGGTTCCTCATTTGTAATGCCATATCCTCTCGTGGCTGGCTGGCCACTGGCGGTGAGGACTTGTGGCTGGACTGGGGTTCGTCGGAATCACGAGTTGCCGATACAGTTGGGTTACACAAGACTCGTCCTTTTCTCCATGAAGCGTCCAGTGACGAGCGAGACATCAGGCGAGAAGAGAAAACAACACGTGTTTGCGGTAGATTACGCTTATCCGATACGATGTAGGTACCTATAGAGGTCTTTGCACACGAAGGGAAAAAGCAAATCTAATGATTTGATTACATGATACCGCCGTCGGTCACAAGGGGGGCAATACTTTACAAGCAGCATGGCACACGCGCTGACGGGCAGCATAGCAGAGCAAACAGCTCGAAATGTATCAGCGCGTCATTAAAGCATCGCTTCCGCAATCGTGACTGGCTATAATATTATGAGACGAATAAATAGTCTAGCAAACCATGCAGTGAATAACGTAGTTTGACAAACGTGATGCTGTGATGAGGTTGAGAGGTCAAAAGAGGCTTCATCCTCCAGGCCATAAAGGTAAAGAACACCAACGTAGGAGAGGTGATGCAATAAACTGTTCAAATCAGGTTCCTATATCTTGGATTCTGGCTCGAAGAATTTCTCGATCTTTCTCATTCAGTTTACTGGTCACTGTATGGATCTTATATTAGAATTCTTTGGCTATAAACAACAAATATTTTATATTCAGTGGAATGTAATCCGTTGGGAAAGCTTCTGATCCACTAGCCATGGCTATAATGCTCTACATCTTGGGCGAGTCTCAACAGTGATTCCTCCCCTACTTGATGGTATAAAACCTTTTAAAGGCTGTTTCTCTCCTACCTCCCCATTCTGTATTACACTCAATACATTAATTGATTGTTATATAGTGAAAGCCCCATACTATATCAAATGGCTAACAACGAAACCTCGATGTCTACCCCTACCATTGCTGCTCGAGCAAGGTGGCAGATCGCAATCGCCGAACACACGAAATACGAAGGTTTCCGTCATAGAATACGCAGTTTCCTCTTGAATCTTAACACCATGATACAATCGTTGCAAATTATCTCCCGTAATAAAGGCCCTGGTACCGATTTCGGTAGAAGCATGGCGGCATTAAGTCAAGAGATGTTTGCCAAGACAAGAGAAATGGACAGAGCTGTCGCAGAGCTCAACAATATATATACAGAATTTGATGTCAGAAAGCCTGTTGTAGAGGCGTGTCTGGGACTTGGAAGTGAATCTGCTGTCGGCACTTTGCCGGAGACGCTGGTGGCGTTGCGATATCTGGAGAGGTTTGAGATTGGAAATGCAAGGTTGAAACAGATGTGGGATGGCTTGATGCTTTGCTCGAGACAAGCACATATGTTGTCGCATGTTAACAGGAGGTAGGTTTGTTGACTAAGTCTCAGTACCTCGTGTGCAAGGACGCGTTGAATTTGGCGGTAGAAGCAGCCTGGTCCGATTAACTATTATATAGATAGAATATTATGTAGACGTTTTAACTGCAGCTTTGAAGTTGGAACTAATACTTAAAGCCACCCATCCTCTCTCTCAAAACACCTTCCGGATCAGCCTCGCGCTGCAACGCCTTAAACTTGGCATAATCTTTATAAGTACCCGTGACATTCTGATCATACATAGCGTCATTCATAAACAAAGGGAGATACTCATCCACATCGCCTCCATTCCTCTCGATCCACTCAGGAAGCTTATCTTCAATATAAGCAGTCAAATCCTTGGAGAACTGACGAACAGTATCGTCGTAGCGCTTCTCAACCCACGCGCACTGGATCTCGAGAAGAACGCGGTTAGGGTCGCTAGCGGTGAAGCCGATGGCGTTTCCGCCACGTTCTTCGGTGTGTTTGCCGATTGCGGAGGGGAGGGGTTGGAAGTCGACGGAGCATTGGGAGGCGAGACCGCGGAGGTTTTTCAAGTAGGTGCTTGTGATGTCGACGAACTTGTCGGCGATTTCGGCGTATACGGTTGAATCCTTGGGGAAGTAGGGAATTGTAGCGGTCTGGGATGTTAGTTGAGGCTAGATATTGGGGAAGAAACTGCGTACTCTGAATGAGATTCTCGAGTTCAACAGTGAAACTCCGGCGCCGTTGGACTTGAGCTATTACAGTGTTAGTACTGTCACATCCCAAGACGATATCAATTGGCTTACTAGATCAGGATACGATTGTGTCTTGGTAGTAGAAAGCGTCGACTTAATCTTCAACAAATCGGCAAAGGCTCCAGTGGTAGGAGGTTTCTCGCCTTGATAGAAGTAGAACAAAAGGTTGATTCTGCTGCTTCCAGTGAGAACGAGACTGGTAACAATGATAGCGGCCTTGGGATCCTCGTTGCTGTATGGGATGAACTCGTGCATCGCCTCATAGAGCTCATCTGTCTTGGACTCATCGTAGGTGCGAATACCGCCCCAGACCTTTCCAATGGGATAGGCTTTGACGGTGAATTGAGTGACGATGCCAAACTGGCTTCCACTTCCTCTCAAGGCGACGGCAAGTTCGGGCTGAGTCTTGGCGTCGACGTTGATAATTGTGCCGTTCCAGTTAACCATCTCCCAGGAGACAACGTTCTGCACATCGTTAGCTAGAGTCATTATAATTTCATGATTGATCGTACATCAGCAGCCAAGCCATATTGAGCGCTCAGAAATGAGATGCCACCCTGTGTAAGCAGACCTCCAACACCAACCAGTCCTAGAGCCAAGTCAGTAGTGCAACAACCAGCAACCCTTATAAGACATACCGAGGCGACCTCCAACGATAGCAACACCATCCTCGTTGAGCTGCGAAATAACATCATTCCACTCTCCACCTGGCTTGACATACGCAACCTTCTTATTAGCATCATAAGTAGCGCCAATCATCTCATTCAACGAAATTAGAACTCCATCACCAGCAGTAGCGTGAGTAGGGTTAGGGTCATGTCCACCACTCTTAGCAGCGAACTTGACATCGGGATACTTGTTTAAGATCGTAACAGCCTTGGAAACATCTTCAGCTGACTTGGCAGTGACGACACAAGCGGGCTTAATCTCCCGCAAAGCCGTGGACCAGTACCCCGAAGATTGACTGTTGTAGTTGATGGTAAAAGGCTGTGAGACGCGACCCGGAATGGCTTTTGAGATCTCTTCACAGGCTTTCTTTGTTGAAGCGCTTGGTGCCGCTAGGGCTGAAGCAGCGAAGAGGGAGGATACAAGGAGCGAATTAAGATGCATTATGGCGGCACTGAATGAATGACAATTTGCTTAAGGGAGTGAGACATGGTGGCAGTTAAATAGAGACGGAAACGAAACGAAACGAAACGGGTCACGGCATGCGTCGCACAGACGGCAGTGTCAATCATATCATACATAGCACAGCTGCCAGATGCGCCCTTGGCACACTCGTATCGAGAGCATTGGTCACATGCTTGCGGGGCAGAAACGATATTAAGGGTTGACTTTTGACGGTGATGGCGCAAGATAGCTTTGCTTTTGTCAAGTCATAGAATGGACTTCGTCGTCTCAGGACGATGGCATTGGTAATTCTCAACAGCTGAGTTTATTCAATCGCTATCATCCGTATCAGCACTATAATACGAACATTTGCTTCATCATGTATCTTCAATGCCGTCGGGACTGTTTTAGCTCCCTTCAACGTCTGTGGAGAAGAACCATTCCCCAGTGGATCTACACTTTCTTCTTTCTCGACATTCACGATTTCCATGACTTCTCAATACAACATTCCCCTGCATTATGCCCAAAAGAGCTAGCGCGAGTCGAGCGCGAGTCAGACTGAACATCATTTGGCGGATTGGCCTAGATTGCGAGATGCTTTGGCCAATCGCTTAATCACCAACTGGATTTACTTGTCAGTGCGTGATGTGGGAGAGATGGGACCTGAAACATTTTAGCTCCGGGGCGGTCGCGAGGGTTGCTTTTTGACGGCTTAGTCGAGAGGGACTAAAAATAAGGGAGAGCGTTGGTGCTGTGGATGGGGTCAAGCTTGCGAAGCTGGAGGAGGTAAGAAAACTTGGATCCTTGACGGAAATATCCAGGTAGCTTAGCTGGAGCTGAGTGGATTCTTTGCCGAGTTTATTTTGACATTCTCTTTAGTTTTCTTGTCCTGGGGCAGAGCTATTGGGGAAGCTAGGCTGTGAATTGATAAGATGAACGGGGCTAACCGAACAGCTGAAGTCGATGGACACTCTGCACGTGCTCACATTTGGAAATTCGGCACCTGTAATTGTTTTTGTTTTCTCAGATCAACTGTTGCATTAGCATAACTCACCTTAGACAATGGATTCGGCTGTGATAATTGCGAAATATACTAGATCATGGATCTATCTGTAGTCAACAGTTTTTGGAGGTTCAAGTAATATTTACTGCATTATCGGCTGGGATGTTTTGCATGCGGAAGTTCCCGCCAGATAAACGAGTGAGATTCATTACTTTCCCGTCGGCAAGTTCCATGACAGAAAACTAAAAGTCAATGGCTTGGACTTCAAGGCAATTTTCGCTTTTCAGTATGACCACTTGTTTATTTGATCGCTGGCTATGAGAGACGGCCTAGCATATCTTTTACTATACGGCCAGCTGATGCCAAAAAGGGAGGAGCGATTCTGGAGGAGCGCACGGCCATTTTGGATAAAAATGTTAAGAGATACTTGCTTATGTGGGCTGACAAAGTGTGGGCAGAAGTATTTCCCATCAGCCGATTGGGAATACCCTGTATACTGATGAAATGTTCCTCTTTCACCACGAATCCTCGCGCTGACATATTCGTTCTATAGCTGCACCATTACATAAACTCTCTTTCAGACTGCCAGCAGTTTTTTTCTTTTTTTCCAATTCGAGTGGATACTGAAGCTGCCATGACACTGCCATATTTTTGTTAATGCTCAGCACTGTCATCTCCGGCAATTTGGAGCCTGTGCATAGTCAAATTCACAAACTGAGGAATTGGCAGCACTTTATCTCCTATTCTAGCTGAATTAGGCATCGCCCTCTTTTTGGCGTTAGAAGGAAGTACGCTCGCAGCTCCATATCCTCTTCCGACATGCCCTCGATGCAGGAAACCTTGGCATTTGGAAAAGCGCGGAAGAATCTTGCAGCAGCCAAACGAAGCTCCATTCGTGCAAGATGCTTACCGATACACACTTAGAAGCCATTAGTAAATCGCGTGAAGCACTGAAGGTGAGCTACATACCTCTTGAGCCTCCGCCGAAAGGCATGACTGCGTCGTGCATCATCTTGCTACCCATCTCCCAACGTGATGGGTCCCAGGTTTCCGGATTTGGGAATACGCGCGGGTCGCGATGTAAGGTCCAAGCTTGTGTTGAAACAACAGTCCCGCCGGGAATGAAGTAGCCTGCAAGGTGAGCACCCCCAGCGGGCACGACCCGAGGGAGAGCTGAAGGGACTGCTGCATACAATCGCAGCGTCTCATCAATAATGTTGTTCAAGTGCGGAAGCTCACGAAGGTCATTGTGACCAAAATCATCGGGTAGTTCCATAAGCTCTGTGACCAGCTTCTGCCGGACATCATCATGAGAGCAGACGGAGTATATGAGGTACGTCAACGTCGTCGCGGTCGTATCAGAGCCAGCAACGATATACGCCTGCGCCTCAGCACGAATCTCATCATCTGAAAGGCCAGCTTCACCAGCTTCAAACAGCTTCCTGAACAACGTAGGCTTGGCTGCCGCAGGATTGTTTGCGAAATTTGTTTTATAGCGTGCGACAGCCTCGGCCGAGTAGTCTCTGATGCGTTGTGCAGCAGCAGCAGTTTCCTTGAAGACAGGTAGCGGGAGCTTGGTCGCGAATGATATGAGTGTTGGGAATGTAGATCGAATGGAACCTTTGGCCGCTAGACCTTCAAGATCTTCGATGTACTGGTTCTTCTGGTCATATGAGTTAGTAAAGACGAAAGACAAGTAAGGTTGCCACCCACTTTGCCGTGTTTCAGTATACCGAAAGACTCCCCAAAGCTTAGGTCCACAATAATATCGGTGGCCATAAATAACCAAAACTTGGCTACATCCGCTGCTCCGCGTTCATCCATTTCACGCTTCATGCTGCCAATTGCCATCTTGACATAGGCGTCGACAGTTGGCTCCACAGACTTAAGCGATGATTCAGAGAGGGGCGAGGACAGTAGACGACGATGATGACGGTGGAACTCTACGTCAAGAGTATTGAAGAGGTTTTTGGTGTTGGGAACAAGATTCTGGTAGAAGGGCGCTTTTCTGTAGCCATCTTTGACGCGATGGATCTCTTTGACTGCTGTGATTTCGGATATATCAACCTCGTGAGGTCCTACCCGCACCACGGGGCCTGAGGCCAGTTAGCGGTTTGCTATCTGGGGATATTCAAACGAACCGTATCGCTGATGAAGGTGGTGGACGTATTGTGCTCGTGTGCCCTTTAGCCAGTGATACTTCGGAATCACATCTGTCCAGCAGGATGTCCATGGACCTGCGTGACTGTGTTAGCGTTGCCGGGTGAATAAAGACACGGATAGCTCACCTGGTAGACGGGAAAGTGGGTTGAGGAAAATGGTAAAAGTTGCCTACAGATTGTTAGAGCCATAATATCAAGAGATAAGGCTTTACCCACATAATAGAGGAAGAATAGGACACAGAGAATTAGTATAACATGGCCAATCGCTTCTAAGCTCAGATAACCGCCCTCGAGATTAGGGTCCATGCTTGCAGGCTGAAGTTCTTGGTGTTTGGTGTAGATACATAAACTACAACACTTCGATCTTATATAGATGTAGATCCTGCCTACAATTACGCTACAAATCGGTCGCAAACAGCTTCCGATCCGACTTTTAAGCCGATCTGGCTGGGATATCTGCTGTCGAGGATGGAAGGTCCTTGACTGCTTGACAAAGAGGGGAGCGATCATTGGTTCAAAGGCCCCACTTTGGCGGACAACTGAAAGTCCGGGCTAACACCGAAGCGCGATGTGTCGGAGTTCTGAGAAGGAAATGCCGTTATGGGGTATATCAGAGGTGAGACAGCCGTAATAAGGTATGGGTTCAGAGATGATCATTCGACTGTGAGCTAGGGGTATATCGTGATATAGAGTAATCACGGTATTGGTCCATAAAGAAACATCATCATGTCTACGACTTCATTCCAACGACGATTCCATGTAATCTGTGGGGGCGCCATTTCATTGGTAAGCTAAGCTACGACTCGTCTCTGCATAAAATACTCCTCACAACGTCCCCCAATTTCTGCTCACAGTCCTCAGGTTTATCGACAGATCTCCATGCAACAAAACGATCTGGCCGGACGAGAACACAACCACTGTCACTAACACCTCTCTTCTCATACCAACGCCTATAAACGTCGATGTATTCCTGACCTGGGCCGATGCCAAAGACCTTGATAGGGATGTCCGTAGCTGTCTTGATGGCGTCAGCTGCGCTTCTCCAAGCGCTACCATCCACGCCCACCAATAAACAAAAAGACCCTTTCCCAGCCAAGTCTAGAGTCGAGATAGTGCCTAGGCGGTTTGGTTTGTCAATCCACGCGTGAGGCAGTCTGCTACCGGGATAGGTGCTGATTTGAACCTGCACGACTGGGTCACCTTGCAGCACTGGTCTTGGGTTGGGTTCATCATCCAGGTACACGGCCTTGGATGCATAGAAGTGATTTTGGGCCAAGCCAAGGCTCTCAAACTCTTGTTTCTTTTCTTCGAAGGCTTTATAAAGATCGGCCCGTCGCGTCGAGCCCTCCGGCGTCGCGTGTGATAGTTGACCCACCAGATCCATGCCCTCGGCAGACGGGGCCATCATTCCAAACACACGGAAGAGCTCTGCATTTTTCCGTATCTGGTTGTTGCTCTCTCGGACAAGGTCGGCACCCACTGGCTGTCTCTCTTGACTGTACGACGATAAAAGACCTGGACCAGCCCAACCCTTTGACACGTAGGCCACCTTCCACGCGAGGTTGTACGCGTCTTGGATGCACGTATTGCTACCGAGTCCAAAAGTCGGAGGATGTCTGTGTGCCGCATCACCTAGCAGAAACAGGGTCCGATCGTCTTTCGAGTACGATGCCGCGACTGACTCCCGCACAGTCCAAGCATCAAGCGTCAAGATCTCAACATCAAGGGAATTATCTCCAACAAGCTGTCGGATCAAGTCTACAAGCTCTTGACTCTGAGTGGTCAGGCCCTCAAAAGGGTTGTTACCCTGGCCACCAAAGGCTACCAGCACCCACTCGTTCCAAGGTCGAACAGCTCGCAAATGGGCAACGACACCGGGGAACAGGGTGCGGTCTGGCTGTATGATCCAGTGCAATCCGCAGAGACGCGATTCTGCCAAATGGTTTGCAAGATCTGCGCGGAACAAGACGTTGCACGCTTTTGGGCCTGGGTTCTGGGTAAGGAACTGGAAGTCGAATTGACGTGCTATCTCGCTGCGCGCCCCATCTGCTCCGAAAAGATATTTTGTGCGAATCTTGAATTCTTGCTTCAGGATATGATCGTAGACCGTGCACGTATAAGCAGGCTCTGTTGTGTGGCTCGAAATCGATTCAACTTTGAGGATCTCGGTTGAAAATCGAACATTGAAGCCGTTGTGTGATGCATAACGGAGAAGAAGAGGCTCCAAGTGTCGCTGAGTAAAATCAACATACTCACAGGGCGTGGTTTCCTTTCGTCTTCCCTAGCAAGTGCCTTCTTAGTCGAGAACAGAGTATGGCATGGTTCACTTACTAAAGATGTAGGATTTTCCTCCCATGCCGAGAGTCTTCCGTATTCCTCGCCAATCAGGCTCTTTGCGAAGCGTGATGACAGGATGAAGGGTTCTCGGATTGCGAGCCGAAGAACCTCATCTTCCAGATTAATATCTCGTAGGCACTCTTCATTCGTGTCAATGACTGCTTATGTGTGTCTTTATACGTAGTCCTACCTAATGCAAAGGGATTAAACCCATGAGCTCGAGGCGTATAGGCCGTATGTGGACTCTTGGAAATTACAAGACCACTCAGTCCTTTGCATTACTAATTAGCTTGCTGAACAGACCTTTGTGAAAAGATCCAAGACTTACCATTCTGCCCCATAAAGGAAGCAAGTGCAGCGCCGGCAGGGCCCGCGCCTACAATCAGGATATCAGTGTCAACTACCGCAGACATGGCGAATGGATGCGATTCAGTAAGTGATGCTTAACTGCAAACAGTGAACCGGAACTTCGAATTTATAAAACATCTCGGGCATTGGAGGAATACCGAGACTGATAGTCGATCTGATCGATTCATTTGGGGTTCGGACTTCGGACTTGTCCTGTGCTTCCGGCCCACAGTGACTTAGTCGGGGATGATTTACCCGGCTTCAGTCTCGTGAGTAGCCGTGTAGTGATAGAGAGCCTAGAAAGCGATCTTCTGATTCACGGTTGCATTGCAGCTAGAGGTGGTGTATCACATGGACAACGTGCATCTGGATTGGGAAACCCGTGATTGAGGGGCATCTTTCAGCAGCTAGCAGCGCAGTTATTCCGAATTGGCTCCTCCTTGATTCCAAATCACAGGACCCCAGCCTTCCACGAATCGCATGGCCGTGTTTGTATTCTGTTTTCCGACCTTTCGACATATCTCTGATCTGTCAGCTGTGCCCCGTATGTCACAGAGTATTTGTGAGAGTAATGAAGATGCAGTAACTCTGAGATCAGGCTTGCTTATAAATGCGCATGCCAATACACATGTTAGCGACGTATTACGAGCAATAATAGTACATGCTACGCCGTCGAGGACCAAGAATTCAGGCGCTGATAAAGACTCGTGTGACATGACCCCACCTCTGGGCAGCTTCTCAGCTTGTTCGTGCAATGATTACCATGGTTTACTCTAATTTTGATGTTTGCTACTGATAATATTCAAGTCTTTTGCTTTCTCAATGTCCCCCATGCCGGCTAATCGCGAGCAAAGATCCTACAACTCTGGCAACGTCAACTCTCATAACAATACCAAAGTTGCAGCAAATACCACTGCAGCCCAGAGGGTTAAACCAAGTCTAGTGCCTGCACTGTTACTCGAAGTGCGATGTCGTTGCTTCCCCAGCCTTGCCGGTTTCAGAGACACTTGTAGCTGTGGCCGCCTCGGTGAAAGCAGCAGTCTTGGCAGAGAGAAGATACGACCGACCAGCTGTGACAGTGACAGGAGCCCAGCCAAAGTATCCATACCCACCATAGAAGAACCCGTCAACGTCGCCGTGTTTGGTATACGTCGCTGTGACCCCCCGACCATCGAAGAATGTAAACGGGGCATGGCTAGTCGTATTGCAGAGTATGGACATCGTATAACATATCTGGCATTCGATCGAGAACGAGTAGCCTTCTTTCTCATCTTCGTCGACGGTACCTTCTCTCCAGATACCAGTGGTTACAACTCCGGATGCAGGTGTCTTATCGGCCCACGGACCGAGAACGACGGTGTTCTTGGTAATATAACATTCACCGTCTTCCCAGATCTTTTTATGTTTGGGCTTGTCGCAGTCCAGTACGAATGTCGTGGCTGTATGGTTTGCGCCGATGACCTCGGCGACGAGATTTGGAGTGCCGGTGTATTCTAGCATAAGCAAAGAAGTGGTGATGGCTGAAGACATGGTGAAGATGGGTATAAGCGATCGATTTAGAGATCAATTAAGGATGGATTAAAAAAGATGGAGGTAAATCATGGAAGGAAAGGGTCTTTAAACAGTGGGACAGCTGGCTTGTCCGGGAATATCGGCCACTGTTGAATTGGCCAAGGTCTTGGCTTCAGTGCCATACTCCCTTTCCCATCTCCAGAGCCTCAAGACGTATGTACGTTATTAGTGACACCATCGCGCGTCAACGGCCGAGTGATGGCTTTCAATGGTCATAGTAGAATAAAGCAATAACAATGAGGTCAGATAAAGTAAGCCTTGTATTGACAAAGGAAAGGCAAAATACCTCTCGTCAATGTAATGCTGTTGGCCTGCTTATATCCACCCAAAGTCGGCCCGCGCAATGACTTGCTTGCAGTTGTTGGTTGACAAGACTTTTAAGACTGGAGTTTTCCGGGCATTTCCATTTCTGGCGCAGTAGATATCGAGCAATCCTTGGACTAGTCATCTTTTTAGATGAGATTCCTATAAACGCCCAACTGAAACGGAATTGCGATTTGGAAGCTTTCAGCCAGGAACCGGGTTTGTAAATGAGGATGATATCACATGGTTTGAACTATGAGACAACTCATGTGAGCCATCGTTCGCAATCTTACTATGCTGAAGAAGTTCTACCTAGTACCTTTAAAATATTACCATCAAACTTGTGGCTCCTGAGCTTTTCTTCCAGTCTCAAGATCTTGCTAGAGCAGAGGAAATTGCCAATAATATGTACTTTAGACTCTAGAAAGGAGTTCGGAAGTCTGGATCCAATGGATCTCTCCGAAAAGCTCCTCGGCCCCTGGCGACGTGGCTCGACTCAGGTTCGAACAGGTTCTCACCATCTCCATACAGATAAGAACACACCGCATCATCTACCTCAATGAATTCATCTCCAACGCAGCCGCCTTCCCCACAACAGATCATATGTACCTTAGGCCTCTCTTCCGCTGGGCGTGAGCGCCAATCCAGATTATCACGCATCTGGCGAACGAGATCGTCATAGCCGTGTTCCGGATTTCGAAAAGCCAAGCTGATTAGCTCGACGCAGCGCAATGTGGGTGGCAAAC